AAGAGCTGTCTGGAGACATTCATGATGATCTGCTCCATCACATGTGCTTGGTATCTGTCGACTTGATATAGAGATTTTGTCGCATTGACGATCCGGGCAGCGGCAACAGCAGCAGTGATTGGTTCCAAATCCATGTGCTGAAAGCAAAATGTTCCGGAGCAAAGTGTTCAGTGTGTCAACATTGCCACCAAATGGTAAAAACGTGAGCAGCACTGGAATGGACATTTTTTTTGTTGGGGATGACTTGATCGAACTTCCTGATGTAAGCTCAGCAATTTTATGTTTGCTGTACTCACACTCATGTTGAGGTGGGGACAGATGTAATGGGTAGCTGCATAAGTCTCCAGAACTGGCTGCAGACTGATGTTACACCACATTTCAATGACGCCACGGCTTAAACCCGCTGCATCCCCGATTGGCTCCCACGCATTCACAGCTTCACTGCACTCCAATGTTCCATTTACCTAAAAGAAATGTGAACAAAGTACGCAAAATGTCAATCGCCTCCCACCTTTTGTTGCACGTTGTCGCCTTTCATCGCATTCCTCTGAGCAAACCGGTTCAGTTAGCAAGACTGTGAGGAACACGGCGAGGCACAACAAAGAGTCCGGGTGAAAGGCAAGCGGCACAGAGGATATCCGATAATCTCTCTATGCACATCGACACAATTAAATGGCACAAAGCTCACACAGGTATCACCACTTTTTTATCACTGGACACCCCGGCAGAGATTGAATACAATAGGTTTATCACAACAGGTGTGTCTCTCCAAAGTTATTTTAGTATCATAGTGACATGGTAAAACACCCTGTAAAGTGAATTCAGACATTTGCTTCGAAATGAATTACTTGCAAGATAATTGCAGGATCGTGTACAAAGACTATGTGGTACTCAGTTGTGGAGATATAGCGCTAAGCTTTTTTCATCATTTTAGTTTTCCTTATTTTTGGGGGTCTGGCTAAAACGGGGGCCAGTGAGGCAGCCCCCCCATATATATACTGCATAAGTATTTGAGCGCCTTCATTCCTACTAGTGGTTATATGCTGCAATTGTGACATACAATTGCAGCACCTAGCTAGCAAGCAACGCCTAAACTGCAAAAACATATCATCTTTTCAGATAGTCCACTAGTGTGGTTGCTATCGAGAAACTAATTGTAGCAGTGTGAAAAAGCACCACAACAAGCCAGTGCGGGCAACGGAGGCTTGAAGTGGACATACTGGATATTCGCAGCACACGTTGAGATGTGTAGGCCTAAGGAAGTTGCTAGACAATGTAGCATCCATTTTGTTAACGGGATGTTGTTTCAGCCCATTCAGTAGACACGTTTGCAGCATTTGCCAGCAAAGAAAAGAGCTTGATTTTTCATTACTTTAAAGCCTCATTTAAAAAAGATTTTTCCATTATTCGAATCTGGCAGAGATGTAAACAATAGCCTTCGCTGAGGTGTGGCAAACTGAGAGTTATCAGAGTTCATTGCTCTCCTGTACACAAAGGGTGCGCTTTACCTGCTCAGCGGCCAGCAATGTTTGTTCAATGGCGGGGCGAATTCTTTCTGAGATCTCGGACAAGTTAAAATGACTCGTGTTCACAGACTGTGCAATTTCTCTCGTCAGGGTCACCACAGGCTTCGCAAGGCTCACTGTCATCACTGTGAAAAAGATCACATCAGAAGCTTGACCAATCAGACTCTTCAAAAAAGCCTTCTCATACAGGAAAAAAAAAGGAAACGTGACTAGTATGTTGTGTTCTTAATTTCAGAGTGTGTGCCGTTGCCGCAAACATGCGGCATGCTAATCATCAAATTGTTTTGTTATTTTGCATAATACTAAAATGTTTCTTTTATGGTGTGTACTTAAATGCCTATTGCTAAGGGGTATACTCACTGTTCTCCGCGTGCTGGGTGTTTACCATACATGCTATGATTTGTTCAAAATAGGGGATGACGGCGGTGACGTTGTCCCATGGCTGCGTTATGCTGAGTGTTGTCAGTACAGCTTCCAACATCTTTTCAAGCCTGCGCCAAAAACAAAAACACGATGGCTAAAGGGCATTTCACATACTCTGAATCGTTCTTGTCCTTTGCCTGATTTCATTTACTTGTGCCACGTCTCCTGGTCAGCCTGCCCAGTCAAAACCTGTTGAAGTACTGGACCGAGATGGAATAAGGCCTCCACAGATGGAGTTCTCGTCCCTAAACCAGGACCAGTCATAAAAATTTGCCAAATCTGTTTAAAAAAAATAATAAAATAGAAAACGGATGTATCATACGATCCAAAAGTGCACAACAAAACATGGGTTGCAATTTATTCATTTGTTCAGTTTAAAGAGCGGTATTGATACGTATCACTTAGACTGCCTGTGAGAATCAGTTACATTTCGGAATGTTGCAGTTAGGTGTGGTTCAGATAAGGGTGATCAAGCAAGCAAAACAAATATGGCAGAGATTGTATCAGCATATTGCACCTTGTGATCTTCTTGTATGTGTGCTTCATGCTCTTACCCCAAACCTGTTTTAGCATGCATGCCTGGAGCTCAAGCTGAAGTCTTACCTGGCTAAAAATCCCAGTCAGAATATCTGTCATTTCATTTTCTCGACTCGCGTTGCCTGAAACCACAAAAAAAAAAAGTTAACTTCACTATCAAACACAAAACAGCAGAGCCGATCAAACGTGAAGAAACACACTCTCAACACGGAAACTTTGTGATAGTTGAGCGACAACCTAGCAGTTTTTTTGATACTTGTTTTTTTTTTTTTTTTAAGTATGGCGCACAACAACCATTCCGTCAGGGTTAAGATTGAAACCGAGTTACCTTGGGTGGAGTTCAAGATGACTGAGGTGATGTCGATGACAACAGAAACATAGTACTGAGCTGTGCTGTTTGGTGGCAGGAGGTTCTGAATTGTCTTCAATTGGTTCAAAATGCTTTAAAAAAACAAACAAAGTAGGACAATATTACCATTTTACATAATCAGAGCATTGCAAAGAAAATTGGTGCATGTCTTCTATTTCCATTGGTCAGCCAGAGAGAAGGTGTACATGTACGAAAAACAAATGTAGCTTAAGAGCTGCTAGCATGACATGCTAGCATACCAGGTAAGTATTTGTTCATTAATATTTTCCGGAAACTTGTTTTGCTGACGTTTATTCGTACCGAAGTACGTTGAAACCGTCATAACTAGAGATGCCACTCACATGAGGTTCCAGTTGTCTGGTCCATTGGCGATGGCGATCGTCTCAAAATAACTAGTGACAACTTCGAGGCCGGGGAGCAGGTACACAGCAAACTCGTCTGGCACCAGCTGCTGAACCACGATACGGGTTCTATTGAGGATATCGAGGGTGAGGTTGAGCGACGTGGAAAAAGTCAAGTTCTGCTCGACACTGAGGGCCAATGAATTGCGAACGATTTCCCTGATGTTTTCCTGCGCAGACTGTGGCAGCGGGACGGCGTCTGGGGTCAGAATTTGCGTGAAACTTTGGACGGCTTCCATGATGGCAGCAAACAGGTGCTCAAACTGCGGCTCCCCAGGTTGCTCTAACGCCATGATAGCTTGGCGCAAGGATTGGGTGATATTACTGACGATGGCGAGGTAATCTTGCTGTTCAGCTGTGAGATAGTTAATCATCGTCCCCAAAAGGAGGTGAAGGTCTTTCACAGGCGTGGAAATATTTATGGAAGGGTTTCCCCAGCGGAGCATGTGGGTGAAGACTGCCGTGACATTGGGTTCGGTCATCCACGCGCGTAGAAGATCGAGATAGAGTTGAATTTGTTGCTCAATTTCATGCAGCACGGTTGTGTTGAGGAATGGCGTAGAACCAAAGGTTTGAAAAGTCTCATCCTGAACTTTGATGTTGACTATTATATATCTCACAATTTGCTGCAGAATCTCAATCGTCGCTTGGCCGATTTTACTCACGCCGGCGCCGTCCGTTGCGTTCTGGAAGTGTCCGATCTGGTTGTCGATAAGCGAAGTCAAATTTGTCTGTGCAAGCTGCAGGGTGACTTGTAATTGGGTGAGGCGGAAAAAGGGGTGGAGGAGCTGCGCCACGAAGCTGGTGCTCGTCACGTTCTCCAACCGATGCAAATACCACTGTAGGATTTGCAAATATGCAACCGTAACTTCCTCGGAGTACGGTACCGACATGGCATCGAGGATGCGCTTCGAGCTTTCGGGGTTCGCCGCTACTTTCAACAGACCTTCGATCACTCTGATCTCTTTCATGATCTCCGGAGTACTCAGATTATTCATCTGAAGGTTTATCTTAATATTGTTCAGGGTGCTGTTCAGAACATCGATGATCTGCATTTGTGCATCGGAGCTAAAATTGACTCGGATGACCTCGCTTGCGGTTTGATTGACAATTAACGGGATGAGGGAGATGATGGCTGTATGATTATGCAGAGCGGGTATGTTGGCCAGAAGATTGCTGGCCTTGTCGATCAATCCCATAACACAGCGGGCTGTCACTGATGCGTTGTGCTGTAATTCAAAACACTTCGGAACATTGGCAATATCCACGATATTTACCAACAGCTCATTGACATTGGCTGCTCCTGCGAGCTGCGCGATGGAGTCAACCTCTTCGAGGGTGAGGTTGGACTGTCTCAAAGCATTCTGGATTTGAGAGACGGTAATATTTGGCATCGCTATGACAAGCCGGATGAAATGAAGCGTCTGATTGAACGCGCCGACGTAGGTCGCGTCATTTGGGGACAAAAAGACCGAGAAGAAAGCAGATGTCATGTTTTCGTATTCGTCTGGCCAAAGCGTGCTGGTGATGTTGACGGTGACGTTGGCATTGACCGAGAGCGTCAAGTTGACGATTTCATCCAAAAATGTGAAGAATTCGGAGATCCTGGATGAGCAGTTCTCTTCTGACGCGCATAAAGACAAGTGATACTGCAATGCTTTCAAATCTTGATGAATTAAAGCAGCTTTCTCTTGTAACTCTGGTGGTAAGAATGCAAGAAATTTTTGTATCACCACATCCAGGGCAGCTTCGGGGCCAATCTGAGTGAGGTTGGCAAGGCTCTCGGGGGTGAGGAGGTTGAGAAAGTCGGTGGAAACTTGGTGGAGGTCAGTCATTTGAGCCGTGCTCATTTGCCCGTCAGGCAACAACGTTTGCTGGATTCGACGCAGCTTGTACAGGGACACCACCGATTCTTGAAGTTGAAGAATATAGGCGAGAATGATGTGACGTGGGTCATCGTCTGGTGAATCAACCACTTTCTCGAGGAGCTCCATAGCGCTCAGGATGGCCTCTACGATGCCTGATGAGGTTTGGTTGGCGAAAGGCTTTAAGTTCTCTTTGAGACGAGCCACTTCGTCTCGGTCAAAGTAGCTGGAATAGGTAAGCAGGGTGTTCCCCATGACATAGGACAGAGACAGTGTGAGGCTCGCCTCAGAGGCAAGGAACTGCGTTATCAAGCGCTCCAATTCGGGCATCGTCGGGTCCGTCTCGTTGAAGGTAAAAACGTGCTGGTTGCCTCGACCGAGCTTCACAGCGGCGTCGAGAACGTCGGAGACGTTGACTGAGCCGTTGTTGAAGAGCAGAGGCAACAGCGGGGACAGACCCGTGGACTCCAACAATCCTCTTACGACGGGAACCAGAACATCGGGGTTGGAGATGTTTTCATCCGAGAGCGTGGAGACGGTCCGGACAGAGTCGTCCAGTTTGTTCATTAAGTTTATCAGGTACGCAGAGAGCGCATCTCCACCTTGAATTTCTTCCGTTAAATGTGAAGTCGTCATATTGTTAATGAGGTCCCCATACACATTCTGTAATAGATTGAAAGTGGCTTTGAGACAGCTACGGAGGAGAGAGGAAAAACAGAAGAGACAAGAACACAGTTAGGGCATCCAGCGTGTCGTCAGGAAGGGAAAAAAAAAAAAAACACACACAATCATTCTGGTCCGGATTTTGGCCACTTACTTTGTCAGGACGTCTTGGCTTGGCGACACCAAAGCCTCGACGAGAGCTTGAACGAAAGTGCTCCAATTGAAACTCTCATCACAATTAATGTTGAGGGTGACCATGTCAAGAGAACCTAAAGAGAAAGTTATTCATCATTTATATCAACTTGAACGGCAAAATGTTAAAACTGCTTTTTCGCTGCAACAGTGACAAGTTTGCTGGCAGTCGAAAAAACAATATCTGATGACTTATTTCTTGTTTCTTAATAGCGAAATTAACTGCAGCGAGGGAGCGCAGGAACGAGACTCACAGTTTGCCGGCTGTGTCGTAACGCCCGGTCTGTAGTTCAAAACCCAGTAAACCATCTGGAAATAGCTTTTCATCTCCGGCCACAGTGGACTCGCCTCAACCTTTTCTCCCAAATTGACCATGAAAACAAAAACACTAAAAAAAAAAAAAGCAAAAATGGTCAGGTGCTTCTCATTAATGCTATCGAAAGTGTTACTCAACTGCCAGGCGCAGTTTCTCCAAACCTTTGTAGAAGAGTCTCAGTCATATCGCCAGAGCTGTTGTTGCCAGGCAACCATTTGAACCAATAGTCCGTCCCCAGCTCTGAGGGCAACCTGTGCAGAAAACCTCCAAATTCCAGGGAGCTGTTAAATAATTTATGCCACTGGGAGAGAATCATCGAAAGAGTTACGTTGACGTCTTTTCCTCCCTCGCTAAGAGTGCTGTACAGCTCTTCGCCCTATGAACAGCAGCACAAAAACATTATTTTTCCCCCCCCTACTGTTGCTTTCGTTGAAATGACTGAATATTTGCAAAATGTTCTTTCAAAGTCTTACTTTTTCAATCAGTGGCGTCCACTCCACCAGAGTGAGATTCTCTGGCGTTGTGGAGTTGTCACAGATGATTGATTTCAACGTCTCAAACTTTATGGTCTCAGTAGACAGCAGCCACTGGAAAGGGCTCAGGGCATCCTCACACGTAACATGTGCTGATGTCAGACTCTGGTGAAGAAAAAAAAAAAAAAAAGCAGGATGATCACGGGGAGTTAGTGGTGCGGTAAAAAAAAAAAAAAGCAGGAAGATCACGGGGAGTTATTGGTGCCATTAGCGGTGGCCCAAAAAATATTCTCAGTCTTTCTGTTAAGGATTTCTCTTCGCCTGAGGTGCGGCCTTCGAGCCGACCTCATTTACCGGAGGAATAAATGTTAACAACGGTTTGAGGAAATTTGTCTTGTTTTATTTCAGCTACATTTAAGTTCCCTTGGAAAGTAACTTACTGTTTTGCAAAGGTTCAGCAAAGATTAGTGATGGAAATTCCTATAAATTTCTGTATTTATAATTCTATTTTAAAAAAAAAAAACATATAGGTAGTCTGGGGCATTCCTGATCAAATCTGGCTTTCCGTGTATTCTCCCATCACGTTTTGCTTTCAAGTGCAGCTGAAAAGTAGTCCCCCCCCAAAAAAAAAAAAAAATCACTATTGACCAACTACAAATTGCATCAGCTGGTGCCACATTTTATTTATTTATTTTTTTTCAAATTTAAAAAGTGTACTTGAGCTTTTTCGTGGATTTCAATGACTTTCACAAGTCTCCCAAAACATTTCTGTCGCCATGATTTGAACCAAAATGGACTTAGGGTAACATAGGAGAATATGACCCAATATAAACAACGCACAAGGGCACCATTAATAGAACACAAAAATGCAATGTTCCCATTACCAAATGTTACCATCTCACCAAATTTATTTTATTGAATTGCTTCTTGATGCTCTTCCTGTTCCATGTTTCCATTCTCTCTCCTTTGTCTCACACCAAGGACTAGTATTCCATTTTCATTGTGCACAACAACAATGACAGGGGCTATTATTCTATTCTGTTCTATTCTAGAGGTCACAGACAATGCGATTGTGAGGTGGAACTGAAAGATCGCCTATTAGGAAGCAACCTGAAGCTCGCACCGGACAAAAAACACACACACACACACACACACACACACACACACACACACACACACACACACACACACACACACACACACACACAAATTGCTATTTACATTGTGAGATTTGTGCATAAAAATAAACAGTCTCGTCAAATAATGGAGACAGACCTTCAGGATTACTTGAGTGGCGCTGTCTAGGATCTGGCTGATCCAAACACTGGCCTCAGTTTGGTTTGCAAGCAAGGTTAGATAAATGTTTTGGAGTCGATCAGAATCCTTCAAGATATTGTCCATCATTTCTGCAAAGCGGGAGTTCAAAAATAAAAATATTACAGGCAGGAAACGTTGACATTTAAACTCTATTGTCAGATTGCAAAAACACTACCGTACATTGAACTTGAATTCCAACCCTTGGATCACACCCATTTTTTTTACAATTGTCTTTTGTACTTTTCTTTGTGAGGGCGTATTGAGTTTTCTCGTGAAAACCCTTCAAGCCGCTTTTCACTAAGTAATCAGCCAGCAGTCCCCAGAGAAAGGGTGTGAACATGTTCCATTTACCATTTGGTTAAACACTATCGGCACTTCGATCGAGAGAACCGTCGTGACTGAGGCCTCGTGTGACATTATCTGCTTTGGACACTAAATCTGCGTCGTGTAAAATATTTATCCTAAGCTCCTTTAAAAAATAAAAAATAAATAAAATAAAATTAAAACAAAATAAAATAAAATAAATATTTTTGTATTCACGGTATTTGTTGACATCAGGAATACAACAAATGTGATTAAAACATGAAAATGGACTGAATTTTTTTTTTTTTTAAATAGCTCAACCGGTTGAAATTCAACAAAAAAAATGGCTGAACCGGTTGAAAGCTTGAAAAAGAAGTGTAGGCTTTTTTGTTGTAGTTCTTTCCATATACTTAAGCCCTAAAAGTGCAATTCTAATGCAATTCTTCAATTTTTTTTCTCCCTCTAGTCCTGACGTTATAGATATGAGATTAAAACTCAAACAGTGGTCCAAACTAATTGCAGATATGACACGATCACCGTTTACGCGTTTTACCTTCAACAACGTCAATCGAGAGAGTTGCTATTTCCATGGACTGAAAACCGACGCTGAGCATGCGCTGAACAATCATGTCCACTTCCGGATGAATTTCGCTCAGTTTCAGAACCACTTCACCGACTGTCAAAAATCTGCCAAGCAGAAAGCATCCCTGAAAATCTTGTCTGGGAAATAGCGTAGCTGTGTCCAAAATGAGCTCGTCTAACAAAATGGTGTGTTCAAGCGGGTATTGTACAGAAAGCGTTCTACGTACAGCTCCTCCTCAATGTTTTGTGGTTGGGTATCGACATGATGCCAGGACCTGGAGATGTTGGAGCCTCCGATGCCTCCTGGGAAGCCGACCCCAAAGACACTGTGGAGCAGTCCTTTGAAAAATGCAACATCATGGGGAGCAACATGCTTACACCAAGCCAGTAAAGCCTGCAAGAAAAGGTTCAGGAGACAAGAAAGGTGAATTATTTGGAACACTTGAATGTACTTAGCCAATCGCCACTTGAGTGGCAAATGTGCAGGGAGAGGAAAAGCGAATCCAAAAGAGTGCTTTTGACATAAAAGTGGATGATATGAGTCGGATGACTGCAACCTACCTGCTGGGCAACTTTGTTGGGACTGATGGTGTCTAGAATCATGTCCGCCGTACTTAGAATGACGTCCACTGCACCTGTCATGCACATGGTTGTGAGCCACAAGGGGTTACTGCTGTTCTCACAAATGGAGGACTGCAGGCGGTCTCTGTCTAACGTCATAAACAAAACCTGGGGAAGAGAGAACTGTCAAGACTAGATGCACGTGTCTTGGTTCTGTTTTGTTTGGTCTCCAGGAGGTGGCGGTGGAGGGCTCTTCCTCCCGTTCCGCACATGTTCCTCCTCACGTCATGATCTGGCACCTGTTTTAAGAGACTGTCAAGCCGTCGCCGGTTGTCGGATAATTCGCCTTGCTCTCGGCTCACATCAAGGGCTTATTTCTAGACATTCGTCGCTTTCTATCTTGTTCCTGGACCTGTTGTATTCTGCTTTGTTTTTGATATCGCTATTCTCGGTGCGTTTATGTTTTATTTATGGATTGTCTTTGCCTTGTCGTTTTTGGTGATTTTGCGTTCGTTATTTCGCTTGCAAGATCATTTTGTTAGCGGTATTTTTTTTTACCCCGGGTTGCTTCCATCGATTTCGGTTATACTTTGTTGGTCTCGCGACCTTATTTTGTCAATAAACCTTTTGTACTCGATCTTATCCTTGTCCGCGTTTGTGGGATCCGCCGCTGTTCCGGACTGGTCCAGAACCATCATAGTATGCCGATTAATTGGCGAGAGAATCTTGCATGAGCAGCGAATCTTGTAGGGTAAACGCTATTTGATTACTTGTGTAAATCACTGATGGGGATGTGTTGTAGGGGGGGTACGATCCAAAATTTTGCCCTGGGGCCCACATCGGGTCACCTTTGTTATAGACCATTTTCATTTTTGGCGCGGGCCACATTTTTGACGCGGGCCGCAGTTTAGTTACCCTTTCACTTGTAGGGCCGTTATGACTGAAACTATATGAAGAAGTCAAGAATAACTGTTGATTCAACTATTGTTTAAGTTACTATCATGAGGGGTTTGGGAACAAGAACATGCTTAAAATATATCTCTTATTTATTACATATAAGAAATTAACATTTTGGTAGACATTTTTGAAAGGATCATGGAAGTTGACTTTGAGCTGCTTTCACAGGCCACATCTGGCCCCCGCGCCTTAGGTTTGACACCTGTGTTATATACAATGCCCGATTGCGTATTCCGGTTACACTAAAACCAACACAAGTAAAAGACAGTGGTTGCGTAACATTTTGCCACTGGCTCTAGTTAATAGAAAATCTTTTAAATACGAAGCAGCTCCTCTCCTTCGCTTTGAATTAAAATAGGGAAACAGCATCATAGGTTCTCTGAAAGTGCATCAGAGCGGAACACATACTTTACCTGTGCAAGTGGTATTCTGACATTTTGTAAAGCCAGTTTGGCAATTTCACTGAACGAGTCATTGTTCAGCATCACAATGTCTCCAAGGGCGATGGTCACATCTAAACAGACGTAAACAATGGGTTGATTACACACGAAGGCTACGGTATCTTCACTAATAACCGACGCAATTGGTTCATACGGTTCAAAGTTGGCGGCGGCGCTTAGTTACCGTTCCCCGGCCACGTTTCAAAATAGTGGATTGCGTTGATGCCTCCGGCAATTAGTGGATGCAGTGCAGAGATTGACTCAGCAGTTTCAGAGAAATTGTTCTGGATGACCTGCATAATGCTAGAAAAAGATAAGGAGAAAAACAATAAGGCAATTGTGGCAAACAAGCTTGTACGTCCAAAGAGCTAATGTTGATTTTTTTAATTTCCAGATTTTATGAAATCAATCTCAGAATATCTACTTGAAAACTCCACCTCTTCTTCTTCAAAAAAAAACAAGCATATTTTTTAAATTCAGGATTGCATATTTCCTCATTTAGACCATTGTGTAAATGTGTTTTTCTATTTCTGTACATCAAAAATATAGAAATTACAAAAAAAAATAATAAAAAGCTGCATTCTTGTCAAGCTAATAAGACCCAATACAAGCATTCGAAAGATAATCAAAATGTAGCCATTAGAAATATAAATTATCCATCCATCCATTTTCCGATCCGCTTTATCCTCACAAGGGTCATGGAGGCTGTTGGAGCCTATCCCAGCGTCTTCGGGCAGTAGGCGGGGGACACCCTGAACCGGTTGCCAGCCAATCGCAGGGCACACATCGAAAAACAACCATCCGCGCTCACACTCACACCTAGGGGCAATTTTTTGGAATGTGGGAGGAAACCGGAGTACCTGGAGAAAACCCATGCAGGCCCGGCCGGGGAGAACATGCAAACTCCAACAGGGATGTCGGAGCTGGGATTGAACCCACGACCTCTGTACTGTGAGGTCGACGCGCTCACCACTGGATGGCCAAAATATAAATTATCCGGCACAATTCTGTTCCCAGTGTATTGTTGCCAGTTGGTGGGTACTCCAGCTTCCTACACCTCCCAACATGTCTCTTTCTGATCCTCATACAGACGCTCCGCATCGCATTCATGTCGTTTAAGCCCCTTACCCGCGTATGTTGGTGAGAAGGCCCGTTGCGGTGTCCAACATTTGCTTCAGTGATCCAGCAGAGTAGAGATGGGGAAGAGCGAGAAGGCCCTCCCACAACGAAGTCTCGTTCTGCAACTCTCGAAACAGCAGCATCGCGGTTCCAACGACCTCTGCCAGCTCGTCGGGTCTTGTTCGCATTTCCTCTTTCAGGATCTGCGCATCACACACCACATTGTGTCAAAGAAAGAAATCACTTTGTGTGTTGTAGTATTCCACTCATCGGCATTTATTGGAATGCATTGACACGAAGACACGCTCATGTTTCTCAAAATAAAATTTTAAAAAATCGTATTATCTTGCTACAATTGTCTTTGTTCTTCTAAAGGACCGACGGAGAAGTACTTCCTTCCTACTTCATACCAGCAAAAGTGTAGTTAAAGATATTTGAATATTTTACAAGTCGTTCTGAATGTGTTACTTACAAGACATCATTGGTTTCAAATTGTTTTGGTCATTTTCTTTTTTTCTCCACATTGTGGTAGCGCAGTCACCTCTATTACGCCCTGAGTCTGAGCTACGGTCACTGAATGCAAAACAAACATCATCCATAGCCCAGGAAGTGAACATCTGTGAACATTACTATTCAACGAAGCTGCGCAGTGGTCAGCATCATACCGATTTTGAAAACGTTGCCAACTGTTTAGGTGATGCTGCAGTACAAAATGCCACCCTCTAGGTCCACAAACACCCAAAGACGCACACAGACCCGCACACACCTTGTTGAGTGACAGTAGAAAGACCTCTAAAACAGTATTGTTTGAGCTGCAAAAGTTGAGCGCCGCATCGCTGACGGTGTTGGGTGAGGTTGTGTTGATCGCCGCCAGAGTTATGGCACAGATGGGCCGCTTCAGTACATTCATTGCTTCCAACATTTTGTACAAGTCCTCCTGGTGGATGGAGGGGGTTGGTGAGGGTTACTTTCATAGTTAAGACAATATTTTGTAGCACTGTTTTTTGCTTTTTCAACCATCCGATGCAAAAATTGCCAATACATACGCGGCCATGGATGCCGTCAGTAATGGATTAGGCTTATTAAGGACACACACGTTTTTCCTTGCTCACACCGAAAGTTACGTCGTGGCTACCTGATCTCTCACAAGAGTTGTATTCTTGGTGTGGATGTGAGAGGTATTCCTGAGGTTTCCTTGATTCACCGCCACTGCAACAAAAGAATATAAACCGACAGATTACTGTGACGATTGACGATTAATGTTCTCGTCATGCTATGCTACGTGGAAAACAAGGGGAATGTGTCATGCCTGCTTTCAGTGGTCACAGGAATGTGTCAACAAATAAGACAAAGAATGTCAAATGTGATTGTGTTCTACGAATGGGACACATGAAAGCATAACCGACGAGAGAGAACTTACTCAGAATTCTTTCCAAGTCCAAGATTAGGGCCTGACTGGAGTCATTTGGGATTCTGTAACTGTAAAAGTCACCACCTTGAATCAGCTTTGCCAAGAGAGTGCCATGCGACCTGTGAAAGCACAACATGAAGCAACGGTGACTTTGCTTTTAGGAACATTTTGCCCCACATACTTGCAGGTCAGCACCCAGCGGATTCACATATTTCCAGATTTCAATTTGCAAAAAAAAAAAAAAATCTAATTTTTGTTGTTGTTGTCCTCAAATGACAATATGGAATTTCGCTCTTGACGGGCCCGCCACAAATAGTGGGTGTCGACTGTAAAGGGTTACCTCGCGTTATCGGTGGATCTTTTCGTAAACTTTGATGGGTTCGCCAGGTGTGACGTGTTGTGACATGTGCTGTCAGTGTTGCACAGGAGAGTCTGCAAGAAAGGGAATAAGCCGGCGCTGGGAAGGTTCCGAGGTGACACATAACCTAGAAAACCAGACAGACCAGATAAATCTCTTGATAGAGTTCAAACACACCCTATATATATATATATATATATATGTATATAAAGATCCATTGGGCAAAACAAAGCAGGTGTTAATGAACTTTGAACAGTGAAGAACAACATTAGTCACAGTGTGTTATTCAAGCATTTGGGGTATTGCCAATCATAGCTATGAATCAATAGGATTACACAACAACGTCAGACATTTTTTTGGGGGTGGGGGGAGCAGATAGTCATGTGGATTTTTTATTTTTTTTTTGGGGGGGGGTAGCAGAGAGTCATGTGGAGCTTTTGGTCACATGTTCAAACCAACACATTTTTGATTGAATGCAATGAATGGCATCACTTCAAGAACTGATTTGTCCGTTTCTCAGTTCAGTTGAACCCAACCGCCCACATGTGCCGCCAACTGCCTGGGCAGGGATATGCAGTGGGGGTATGGGGCATCCACATTGCTCCCCAGGTCGATGAAAACATTCAATGATAGTCCACCGACACTGACAGGGGCATCCACTTTTGATAGAGGTACAGAATCAAGCTTGAAAAAGCTCCATAATTTTTTTAAAATATATTTTTAATTGTGCTGACATAATGAGCACAAACCACAATTAGCTGTAGGACGTCAAATTCCCCTCTTTCCTCCTCCATGCAGGAAACAGGAATCTTGCTAACATGAGGACCACAATTGGTGTTGGCGCCATTGTTTTTTTTTTTTCATATTAGTTGCTAGAATGGTCAGAAAAGTAATGAAATACGGCGACAATAACTCTAAGTAGGCAACGCTGAAGGAAGGTTCTTTTCTTGTTCACTTGCACTGCCAAGCGACGTGCACACCCAAATAAAAGCAGCACATACTTTACTTGACATCCTTTATTTTGACTTCATGAAGACCGCCAGAGCCGATTAAAGACCGCGGGACGTACTTTTCCAAGCGGTGCTGTAAATCTTTAAAGTTCAACAATGTGGTCATGGGTGGGTCATGTAAAAATAAAAATTAAAATAAAGAGCACCAAATAACAACCTCTGGCGCTCCTTTGAGAACCTCACCTAAATTATCATGCACACTTCTCCTCATATGATCTGTTTGTATGTGCTGCCATTTTTGTTGTTGCTAATGCTAATTCTCTCTGATGTTAGTTTTACCGTAAATCTCAATTCGGGATGATAGACAGCCTGAAAGAATTATTGGCATACAACAATACAATTAGTAATTATATCTCTTGTGGTTTCACTTTCACCCACAATGAAAACAAGTTTGACACCCGGACACAGCCCAACAAAACAAGCAGCTAAAAGACTGTCTTTGGAAATTACAGTTCTGTGTGTTTTGACTGCTTTTCAAGAGTTTTCGGAGACAAATCTCCTCAGTGTCTTGTCCGCTAAAAATAAAGGCATAATGATCAACTCGCTCAAAAACCCACATACTGTATAGTTGATCCATCCCACTGAAAGGAGAAATGGTTCATTTTTATAAAGTGCCCCACCAATTGCTCAATGCTAGCGTATTTTGAAAGAAAGTCACTTATTGAGAATGAATAGAGCTCGTCGATTAAATATAACATTACATAATGATGCCCGTGTTCTTGTCGTCTTAACAAAAAAAAAAAAAAAAACTGCTGTGGCTACGAGTGATCATTACACGTCGGGGAGTTCTTCGTCTTCAAGCAATGCTAAACCTTACAGACGGCCACAATATGAGTGAATATGTTATTTGACAGTAAATTAGAGAAGTTCATTTAACCGAATTTTTTGTTTGTTTGTTTCTGTTTAATAAATGAGTCACATGTTATGACCTGCACTATTCAGCCTAATTGTGTCAAAATGCCGCTAAGTAGAAGATGAAGTGTGTGACAAACACCCACAAAAACTCTCCCCGAGCGCCTTTCACCTTTGTTGACTTTTAGCCAGTTGACTTGATGAAAAGAGGCGTACAAACGTAGTTCAAAGGTTGGTTGTCAAGGAGTTCTTCTGTTTGAGAATTCTCCTCTTATTTACTCTCATTGTGAAAAGCTAATCCTCCAAATTGGAAAGCTGTTAGCAACATCAAGAGAACAACCACAAAAAAGGGTATTTCAATGATATTCATGCTCATGTTGATAACGAAGAAAAATTCAATGGTGTGGAAAATTATCCTTCAAGTAAGTGTTTCATTATTTCAAAAACTAAAATAAGTGATATATTTGAATTGCATTCTTGGTAAGTAGACTACATATATTTATGTTCAAGAAAAAAAAAACGGTAAAGTTGACAAAAACATTTCATTTAAAGTCATTATGTGGGCGAGTGCGTGTGCGCGTGTCATCCATCAGTCTGTATTTATTTAGTTTAGCATTATAAAACAGAGTCGATGTAACCTTTTGTAATCGGGATTACAATCAGTCACAACCAGACAGGTCATACCAGTGTCTCAGACAAAAGTTGATTTATGAAAGCACTTTGCATTTTATGACCTCTTCAGTTATGTTCTGCTTTTTTTTTTAAATAATTACTTTACATATTTTGTTTTCACAGTGCCTCTGCGTGAATGTGTGTCAAGACGCCCGTTCAGTAAATATGGAAATAAAGTCGAAGGCAGAAACTTAACACGGATCTTTTTTTTTTTTTTTTTTTACTCACATGATTCTTGAAGCTCCGGTGGGTAATAGCCGCGGGTCACAGCAACAATGATAAAGATGATTAAAGGCCAGGTGATCAGAGTCAGCGACCAGACCTACAACGCACCAATTCAGTTCCATAGCTTGCCATCAACTGCTGCCATTAACTTCCTTCAAACAGGTGTTATATCGACTCACTGGATTTCGGATGACATTCAGCCCATTTTTCCAAAGAAGAAGCTTGACTTGCTGGAAGAAGCCCATCTTTGGCTAAGGCTAGAGTGGAGACAAAAATGTATAAAAAAATCATATTTATGTATGTGAACCTAATGTTGGTGTTCGTTAAACACATTTTGTGTTAATGGCCTACATGTGAGAATGTATCATATGCTTTAAAAGATCTCTATGAGTCAAGATGAATAAATTACTATCCAGGAAAGACAGGTGAAAGAACACATTCTCCCGAAGCCTAATAATGGTGTGTGTTTTTATGTGTTCCATCGATTGAGTGTATCTCTGGCTCAAAGAACACGTACCATTGATGGCTAATATTTAGCATTTATCTTTCCTTATTTTACACAATGTTGCCAGTCATTTGGACAGCAGAGTAAGAATGTCACCGCAAGCGTTTTTTGTCTACTGTCCGTATGATAATAAACACTTTGAATTAAATGAATTGTTGAACTACATGAAAAATACAATGGTATATAAAAACTTAGTTCGGAGACATCAAAGACATGGCGTTCCATTTGATTGACATTTCCACTGTTACTTCCTTTACTATCAGTTTGTATAACTGTGCGCGTAAAGTAGTGATTCCTAGCCATTTCGAGTGATTGAGTATACAATCTCCGTTATTTGGTGTGTAAATAAACGTTTTTTTACGACCAATAATGTATCTTTGTTCCCCTCTCTATGCTAGCGACAGTTAGCAACAGGGAGAACAGTTAAACTCAACTGTATTCATAAAGCACGTTAAAACAACCACCGCTAGATACAAAGTGCTGTACATCGAGCAAAACTATTCATACAACAATAAACAATACAACGATAAATTAATAACGAGGACAGTCGAAAGCACAAAAAGAGTCTAACTAAAAGTTAAGTCTCCTGCTGAGTCTGAAGCCAAAGAATAAAAATGAATATTAAAGATGCCTGACGTCCGGCAGGTTTGGGAAGTTTGCGAAGCACTGATCTAAATGACCCTTTTGGGGTTCAGTCGTGTAAACATGATAATGTTACTAACTAATGTTATCATTTGTCATAATAGCAGCAATAATACACAAAAGGTAGAAATAATCATTAAAATTACACTTGCATCGATGTAACTGTCGTCAAGTTTCTAAAATAGTGGGCTATTTATTTATTTACAGAAAACACACAAAAAAACTTAAGTGAATACTGATTGGTTGATATTTTTTAATCATTTCATTTTCGGGGCAGGAATGGATGTGCCGGTAGCTGCTTTTAGCAGAGGTTGCCAGCATCTTAAGAAGTTTAAGGTAAAAAAAAAAAAAAAAAAACTTTGTGTGTATTTTTTTTTCTTTCAAAACATGACTTGGGCCATTATTTCTAAGAAGTTGACGATGCTATTTTATTTGAGAGAAAATTTGTTGTTCCGAATGACCGTTTGTCATTATAAGGTAACACTCACCTGTTCGTTCTGCCAATGAGCTTTTTATTTCTTCAGACCGCTCGTTCCATGAGGAGAAAAAAACCCCACACACCACTACTTGTCAACCTCGCACACAACGACCACTTTGTTTTTAATCGAACCACAACGCGCTGGTTGATGAAGTTCCTCTTCCAGAAAGCACAAAAATTGTGGTTTTGATTGCGCTTTGGTCACTTCCCTTGAACAACGTGACAGCCAAAGGGAAGGGGAAGAATGTACACCTGCACACCAAGTCACACGTCTCCAACATTGGACCAATCACGAGCGCGCATTCTTTCCGGGGAAATTAATTGCGGCATTGTCGTTGCATCACACTTAAGTCAGATTTCTTAGTATCTACTAACCCTTCTGTTCAATTTCGATTCAAATTCACACAATGCCGCGCAAATGGATGACGATCGGTGCAAAAATTCCACCCAAATCCCCAATCATGAAAAAAAAAAAAAAGAACACATCTAGTACCATGCAGTACTTTGTTGCAGCACTCTTGCTTTTGTAACATCTGGCAGTCTCAGAGGCATACATGGACTTAAAGAGTGATAATTCTTCCTCATCACTCTGGCTGCAACTTTCTCTGATGTTTTTCCCAAATCGTTTTGGAGCCTTGTCGTGGACCATTTGTTCACCTTGCACCGATCATTTTCAATTGGATTGGGATCCAGACTACACTGAAAAAAAATCAGTGCTTAATTGACTCAATTCATCACGAGGCTGTAACAAAAATAAATCATCTGCATTCAGACACATTTTTAAGTAGCTATATCATCAACTTGAAAAAAAATAAAAAAGTACATGGCAGCTTTTCATCCAAAGAGGAAACAGGGCACATTACACAAGCACTGCGTAATTGAGTTATTGCTTAGTGTAGTTAAGAGAAACTAAAGGGAAAGTTTCAAAACTATGTGCCAATGAATTTCCTTCGATCATGTGTACCAATACTTACTAGCTGGTGAAAAGCAAGTCATTAAGGGCCTTATTTTCCTTTATTTGCTTGCTTACTTTCGAGGTGCGTGATTCTTCTTTCCGGACTTCCGACACACCCACCATGTGTAATTTGTGCCAACAACCAAAAAGGCATGACTCATTGAGGTATGCATCGGGCAGTTTTCACAAAACTTATGAATGCCATCCATCCACCCATCCATTTTTCCATTGTCACAAGGGTGGCGGGTGTGCTGGAGCCTATCCCCGCTGTCTTAGAGCAGTAGGCGCGGTACACCCTGTGAAGTGGTTGCCAGCCAATCGCAGGGCACACCAAGATGAACAACCATTCGCGCTCACAATCACACCTCGGGACAATTTAGTGTGTTCCATTCACCTGCCATGCGTGTTTTTGGGATGTAGGAGGGAACCGGAGTACCCGGAGAAAACCCACGCAGGCACCAGGGAGAACATGCAAACTCCACACAGGAAGGCCGCAGCCGGAATCGAACCCTGCACCTCTGCACCGTGAGGCTGACGTGCTAATCAGTCAATCATTGTACCGTAAAAATGTATTTGGAAAATGTCACGCTTTGATTGTCAATTTTACTTATGTAGAACCGCAACTTACATAATTGTGACATGTACACCGCTCATCTGCAGCTCAGTTTCCCAACATCGACACGATCAAACCCAGAACACAGCTGGGCCGTGATCGGTCCCTTTGGAACTTTTCTGTCAACAGAAGTAGTCGAGATGGACAAGAACAGGTAGATTTCGCTGCTTAATTCATATTCCACAAATTCAATATTAATCACAAAGCCATGTTAGGACGAGGAGGGGCTCACAGAGAACATATTGTAAAGAACATTTTTGACTCTACTTTCCCAAAATCAACCAGCGATCATTCTCAGCATATTAGAGTCTTTAGCAACAGCCCCCAGAAAATAACAGGGAAAAAAAACACACTCCTCAATTGGGCAATTAAAAAAAAATTGTACTCAAGAGGTTAACAGCACCTGAAGAATGAAAAAACATTTTCAATAAGTTTTTGATGGGTGAAAAAAAAGTCATGAAAAAGGCAAATCAACGCTCTAAATCTTTTTCACTTGTAGTGCACTATGCTCACATTATTGCCCTATCCATGTAACAGATTCTATTTCTGACATTTCGTGCTTCTGTAATATTGGAAATCCCATGACAGGCGGTTGCGCAAGAATGAGGCACAATTACGTGTTTTCCCTCCAGTGAATTCAATTGAAATGTAATTAATGTGGTCACCACTAAAACAATCAGAATGTCAATTTCCGCATGCTTAAAAACACTGATGCAAATCTTAAAAAAAAAAAACTCCCAATCAAGCCACACACATGTCAAAGTCCTATGAATATTTTTTTTCCATCCATGCCGATGGTATGAGAAATAAATAACATGGAAAATGCCACAGTGAGTGAAATCAATTTTCTCACATTTTAAGATGCAAATAATACAACCGACAATAATACAAGTTTGGCATTGAAGTGTTCTTCGTGTGGCTCCAGAGCTGCAGAACTCCTTGGCGTCAGGTTACTGATAATACCCATTACATTTGAAATACTGCACCGTGTCGTAGATCGACACTGCTTTTGGCACTTTTGTATAGCAGGAGTATTCAAAGGGGACATCAGTAAACAATTTTCCAGTGTGTAGGTTGCTCACACTCTTTCTCAGTGTCCCCGCAGAAACGGTTATAAGTGGTTTTTGGATGAAAACCAAGTATTTCACGTTCTTCGTGGATGCGGAAGGAAAAAGTCGACACCGACGTTCCAATGAAGAATCTAGGGTGAATCAAGAGAGATGGAAAAAATACATATATATATATATATATATATATATCAGGTAACAGCATGTGACTGCCCGGTTCCACGAGTTTCTCGAAGCAGGTTTATGATTTGCAAAAATCCCAGTTAGCAAGTGAGGAATTAAGTGTTCATGCTAACAGATTACATGTGATGTTGGCGTGGGTGTTGTGAATCACTACTGAAGAATTCCGTCTCCATGTCACCCAAAAAAAAAAAAAAAGTCATTGTTATGCATAGGGCACAGTCAGTGATTTTTTTTCTGAATGTGCAGAGACTTTGAAAAAGTCACGAGGGAATTGAGGAAACAGACACCATAATCAGAAGCATTTTCCCATTTTTTTTCCCGTATGTAGAAAGGAATTCCAGAGAAGGCAAGCACCGAGTCAATGGTGTGCATCGACCTCTCAGATATCATGCCGAAATTACCTGCCCTCACCTGTACAATGTTTACCAAAAAAAAAAAAAAAAAGCGAGAAATCTGGAAGGCTTGCGCCATTACTCTTACAGTAAATCTAGACCAGCTGAACATTTCAAATGTTCATTCATGAAGGATTGTGTTCACATCCGTGATTTGAATGAATAGACATTTTCCTCTAAGAAAGCAATATTGACACAAAAACAATTTTCTGTGCAAATTAACGTTTGAGAAAAATCTTGCTGGAAAAAAAAAATCAAAGCTTGTTTGCCTCTCATGACAACTACAACAATCTTTCTTGCCATCTCCAGCTCCGCCTCCACACCCCCCACCCCACCCCACGTTTTGTGACTGATGTTATCCGGTAACCTCATTTATCCAAAGTCATGTTTGTTACGTTGAACAATAAGCAAGTGAAAAGGATTGTTCCTTGTTCCGTCCGACAGATGAACACAAAGCATTTTGATTGACAAGCGCAATGCGTGCAGTGACACAACTTCATTATACACCCCGCGGTCTTATCGATCGCCACTTTACCTTGCATGGGCACAAATCCACTGATCAATGATTGCCACGCCGCCATCTTTCAAAAGCTCCAGGTCTTCTGTGGACGGTTCAAATCGCACCATCTCAGGCAACAGCCTCTTGAGCTCCTTCACTTCTGTTGGATAGCATAGATGGATGCAGAGATACAGATGGCTCTTTTTATGATATGCCACTCATTGGTTTTATATTTCATTCGCATTATCCTGGGCAAAGTTCTCAATTCAGATGTGTCCAACTTTCAAAGTAATACTGTCCACGCCAGTTAATCTTACTATTGGACTTTGATTGAACATATTGTGAAGTCATCACCTTCCTCGTCCGCATCAGTTGCAACAAAGACGTTATCCAGTTTGTGCTTCTTCATCAGGCTCCGTATTTTTTTGACCGCCGCCTTCAGGCTGGGTACGTCCTCTCGGTGACCCCAGATGAAATCCTTTCGCCGCAAGTGGACCCCAAGGTACGGACCCCCTTTGGCAGAGCCGAGCTTGGCCTGAGGAGGAGATCATAGTACAGCGGTCCCGAGCTATATTGCGGATTTTTTTTCCAAGTGCAATTTTGCATGCTGTTTTTTTTTTTTTTTTACAGTTTACAATCCGCATTGTGTCCTAATTGACTTTGTGTATTTTCTGCATGCTGTTTTTTTACAGAGTACGACGTCAGAGATAGACCAGCATCATGGAACACACTGTGTTTGCCTTGGGAGCTGGAATTTTTCTTGGAGCACTGCCTCGTGCCCCTGCAGTCCAAGCAGAGATGCTGACTCACTTTCATGCGAGTCCAGTCTTCGTTGTAAACGGTGTTGTCGCCATCATCTGTCGAGTTGAGGTACTTCGCCCTGAATTCATCTCCAATGAGGCGCAGGTGCTTGGCAAACACCATACTGCGGCGCGTCTTTGTTACGAGGGAATACAGTAAATATTAAGTGTCGTAAAAAATTCGAATTTTTGTATTTACAAAGCAACGCCACAAATAAATCTGACTTACATTCCAGTAATCCTTCCCAGCGTAGTGATCATGGAGAAGTGTCTCTGCTCGGTCGAGCATTACTGAGCTGCAGATGAGGGAGGGGGGAAAAAAAAACGTGTTGGATGGCTTTTCGACTGCCACCTGTGCTGTCATCTATCCAAACTACACAGCAAGATTTGAAATGATTGGTTGCCTAGTGCTACATTGGACTACGAGTGCTTTTAGAGATTAACTTTCTTATAAAAATAAATAAATAAATAAAAAACCCTGAAGAATGAAACTACAATGAAATGCATTACTCAGTCCATTGTTACATTTTTCAAAAATAATGTGCAACGGCAATCTTAATTAATTTCTCACGAGCTAAATTTTGTTACTGTTGCTTTTAGTTATTTAGTGATGTTGTTTATATTATCATAACCACTTGCCATGCACAGTTAAATTCCCCCCAAATTCCTCATTTACAAAGGGTAAATTTAATTGACCCAACAGTCAGTTGTGTTGAACTGTGCAACATACAGTAAGAGTGGATGTGCCCATTAGCTCAAATTTCCAAACAAAATCTGAACATTTCTAGCTTTGTAAAAGCAGGAGTTTTGTACTTGATGGAATCGAATTGGACTCTGCAAGTGTCCATAAAGTTGTGACAGATGGGAGTATAAAAATAAACGTCTCGAAGCATGAGTTTCACAAATCTTTCTCAGAGTACTCACGTCACGGTAATGTTCTTCTGAAGAACCGGGACCATGATGGAGGCATGACCTTGCGCTGACAGACAAGTGATGTTTCGAGCTCTCGTCTCTTCGAAGCCCCAAAACCAACCCCTTGGAAGCCGGCAAAAACAAGAGAGAAGAAGCAATTGACGAAGAGGAAAAAATGGCTTTTCGAGTGGCATTATAATTATGTGAGAGCTGTGGAGTACCTGTAGTAGCCCTGTTTATCTTTGGTATACATCGATTTCTCAATGCATGGCCGCTCATCAACCTTTTCCTCCCATTTCCCATCAGTCCATCCTTCTGCGTAATTTTGCAGGACCACAACCTGATCAATGAATGGACCTCCATTTTCTAGAGGCAAAAGACAAGCAAAGTGCATTCTTGAAAGATGTAAAGAAGCACAGGATCCAACAAGCTTGCGTGATCATAAAAATTACAACAAAAACAAATACACACACAACATACTATAGGTTAGTTTGAGTAAAATAGCTCACCGGCAATGAATTCCTCATACTCGATCACAGGAACATTGGCCTGTAGGCTGGTGAGGCTGAAGAACTCTCCCCAAGGGATGCGGACCTGATGGAGGTCGGGGCTCTGCCAGTGATACAAGCGACCCCAGGGGGGAAGCACGAGGACCCAGTCATCACCATTCTTCCTCAGTGATTTTACCAGGGATGCTATGCGGATATAAACGTCTCGCCGCAGGTTGAAACCCTCTGGAGGGTTCACATCGTAGAGAAGGTATCTTGGATACAGCAAAACAAGAAGTGAGTGGGTGTCTTTTCATTCACGGAACCTGAGCATTTAGGCAAGCTGAAACACACATACAACTTATGTAGCAAGGATATTCTGATAGCTTCCAAATGTACCTGTGTTGAGGCATGCCAGATCTGTAGATCGAATATCGACCTCATTGAATTCCAATGGCAGTTTAGATGTAATAGTCATGTATTCGTGTAATAATGCCGTTTTTGTTTGTTTTTTTTGAACACCAAAGATAATCGGGCAGCACAGTTTATTTCAGTATAGTGCAGTATGTCATAACTTTGTGTTAAAACGTTTCTACGGAGGCTAATAAGTACCAGCTTCAAACTCATGACTGAGGCACAGTCACTCGAATAGAAACAATTATATCGCATTAAATTTTTTTCCAGAATTCACGACTATGGCGCCGAATTTCAGGAACAGGCAGCACTGTTTAGGAAATACAGTATTGTAAAAGCACTACGATAGATGCTATGTGGCTCAGATGTTAAATAAAACATTAAACATTGAACTTTTCCAACGGTGTGTCGTGATGGCAGATGATTTCAGAATGACAACAGGTAGAGTTATTTCACAGTTTAGATCCGGCTGTGTAACGTCAAACGTTTAATGTCAATCCGTGGTTACCCCACGCGAAACTTGATTAACTGGAGAAATGAATCACTGCAACCAATTTCACGGTCACCAAGAGCAGCTAGCATAGCTGAATGTGTCACTATACTCACCGTAGGTCCCTAGCGGCGGCGATGGGTACAGTAACCGTGTTGCGCGCACTAAACACATCCTGGCTGTTTGTAAAGTCTGCAAAAGCAATCAAAATAGAAAAACACAAAACGCTAAGACAGCACGTTGGATCTATAGCAGCAAATGATGAACGCGTTTCTCTGAACGCCATATTTCCTCAAAGCACGCACTTCCGGAAGTCGAAAAGGCGTCTGGAGTTGCCAAGGCAACCATACACATCTCGCACGCGTTGGGCCGACGCGGATGTTGGGCACGCCCAAACCATCGCGATAAATCAGAATCCCGCGAGAGGAATGTCGTTTTTTTTTTTTTGTTTTTTTTTGTTTTTTTTTTTGGGTGGCGGGGAGGCTCTGATTCGAATCCAGACCAAAGCCTAAATAAAAATGTAACTTACATGCGTAAATTATGTAAATGTTGACACCTAATTTTCTTGAGTGTGGTGGCTTCTTTAAACCAAATTGGAGGCACATGATGGGGCCGGAGAGGGATGATTTCTTTTGTCAAAAATAATTCTTTTTTTAAATGTCAAGTTGAAGAAATTTTTACTCCAGACTGCATTCAAAAGATAACCAATTAAACGTTTAACCTGCACATCAAGTGTTTGGTTTGAGTGATGAATAGCTTTTTGTTGGCATTTTGTGCTGTACTAACAAGCTAGGACGTCAAAGGGAACTTTTTGGTTTGTCTTCTTGAACTGATTTTCAGACTTTCCCAGCGGGTTGTGTCACAATCAGACCTTCCCAGCGGGTTGTGTCACATGCATGCCTGAATTGGCTGTTTTGGCCAAGGCTTGTGTCATTTCCTCCTAAAGCGTCTCCACTCCAAACAAAATTCAATTGTGAAACACATGACAAAGTTGCACGTGGCTGGTTAATTTATCTGCTTTTTTCCCCCTACCATATACACAGCACAGCAGGAAAAAGTCCACATATGATAACTACAATATATTTGGTTTACTTTCTGTTTCATTTAATGCTTGCATTTATTTGTTTTATATAAACTACGGCAACAACAAAAATAAGTGTGCGACAACCCTCAAGTGCACTAATTTGTCTTCTATATTATTCTATTTTATGTCTGCTTTTCACCCCCAGTCTAAACTCATGGAAAAATAAGATTTAAGAACGAATAAAACCTAAAATATACATCGTATATTAACAACAAATTCAGAACGCCACCGCAGAGCTCTTGCTGGATTCTCCAGGTGAAAAAAAAATCAACACCTAAAAGCCAAAAAGCCATTTTCATGAGAGCAATAATACACTGTAAAAAGAAAGCAATCATTTAAGTTGGAACAACTTTAAATATAAATTATTGACATTTATGACGACAAAGCAAGGAAGTTTTTTGCTCCAAAACAATTTGCTGAGTTGTTTTCACTTATATCTTTAAGTTACAAGAGACAATTAGCTCTGTAAACTCTTATTTCTTTGTTGGAAAATGTGGGAAGACCAGTGAACAGCAAACTTCAAAATCACTTTTTAAATCGTTCAAATTCATATTTTATCAAAGTTTGTTGCCATGAAACTTTGAGTTCACTTAACTTTTTTTTTTTTTTACTGTGTAATACATGAAAGCGAAACCTGATCCAAACACAACATTCGGTCATTGTGAAAGTCCCCACTTGTCATCACATTGACCATCACTAGCCACTTTGGAAATTTTGATGTTCCGCTACTGGTCAGGGTGACCATCTCTAATAAAAAGGAGTTCTGCTTTAGGACTTTTACATTCAGCGCAAACGTTGAGGCACAAGTGATGCTGCGTAAGGTAGTGGATTATCTTGCCAGTGGATTTGAAGATCAGCCTGTTTTTTTTTTTTTTTTTTTTTTTTTAAATATATCTGTTTGTTTACCTTTTCTCTTGCAGGTGGTGACTGAAAGCTTTGGAGCAACCATCCACGCTGTGGGCGCCAGCCAGCTGACAGATAGCGTGATTCGGCGCAGTAAACGGATGATGCTGGACACCCTCGGTGTGGGCCTGCTCGGGTCTAGGACGGACGTCGTCAACAAAGCTCTCAAGTACAGCCAGGTACACTTCACCTCATGTAAACGTCTTGATAATCTAATTCAGACATTTACAATACTAAAGTGTAAATTAAAAGCCAACTAAAATATCATAATACAAATAAACCACCACTGTTTTGTTGTTTTAAAGGATACGTATATGTTTTGCATACAATTTTGTTTCCATCACATTGGGTACAAGTGCTGTATTAAAATTACTGACTTTAAAATTGCCTTGACAGTGCCAGTGAAAACTTTTGTATTATAATTGTAATGATATGAATTTTTTATACATTATTAAAACATATATATGATGAAAAATATGAGTATAAATATAAAATATATCATAATTAAATGTCATATTGCAAGAAAACCAGATGTCATTCTGTGCCAAATAACGACTTTACCTTTATCTTTATTTTCATGTGGATGTTGTCAGTTGTTCCAGTCAGATGAGAAGAGCAGCATTTGGGGCAAATCAGACGTAACCGCACCTCCACACTTTGCCGCGTTTGTCAACGGTGTGGCGGTAAGTTCAGTTTCATGACATGCCAGGCTCGACAGTCATGTGACGTCTGTTTGAAACATTGGCTTTGTGGTGACAGGTTCACTCTATGGACTTTGACGACACATGGTACCCCGCCACTCATCCCTCGGGGGCGGTGCTGGCCGCACTGCTGGCCTTGGCGGAGGTCACACCCACGAGGCCCTCAGGCGTGGACCTGCTGCTGGCATTCAATGTTGGTATCGAGGTGCAGGGTAGACTCTTAAGGTTCTCCAGAGAGGCCTTCAACATCCCTAAAAGGTAGATACACAACATTAGATACACTTGCACATATGTCAAGAATAGCACCTCATACTGAAGAGGGAAGTTGGACTTTGGTTATTTTCAATGATGTCCACTCTGGTGTGTATGGTAGTTGGGGTCAAACGTCAGGTCATACGTTTCTGTGATCGTGGAAGTACAGTTCCCTCTGGTGGTTAAAATAGGGAACTTTTTGTTCCAAAAATAGCACGACTGTCAAAAAAAATAACATCACTGTCCAATGAAAAGCACGTATCCCCAAATGTTTGTAGGACGTACCATTGCTATCCAGTGACGAATATGTATCTCCATTATAAGGGTATATTGTGTTTTTTGTTTTAGTTGATTTTTCATCGTTCATTATTTCAAAACCCCACCATTAATTTCAATAATATGCAAAGAATATATATATATATGTTCTATGACAACGCATTCATGTATGTGATTGTAGGTGAAATAATCGCTAATTAAACTACATAGGGCGCGCTTTCACTCCAGGAGGCTGCCATGTTTCGCCGCCATATTTCTTCTACGGATACTCGAAAGAGACAAATTTTGTGAGGGTTTCCCCCCCCTCGACACTAACATCGTGTAACTTTGGAATTGGCCTGACTCCGTCCCCTGAGAGAATATTAGTAATCAATGGAATATCTGCTGATGAATTTGTTGTAAGTTTGCAAGGTTTGGAAAGTAATTCACCACCAGATGACACTACATTCTACACACTGTACCTTCAAAGCAGCAAGTAATTGGTTGTATGTTTTGTTTACAAAAACTACATATCTATTGCCCCTGTCCAATGAAAAGCGTGTATCGTCAAATGTATTGGATGACGCCATTGTCCCTAATGAACCGTCTCTCTTCAGATTCCACCCTCCCAGTGTGGTCGGCGTGATGGGCAGCGCAGCAGCCTCTGCCAAGCTTTTGGGTTTATCCTCCCGGCAATGCGCCAATGCCCTGGCCATTGCGGCGTGCTCGGCTGGGGCGCCGCTCGCAAACGCCGCCACTCAAACAAAACCATTGCATATGGGCTACGCTGCCCAGAGGGGCCTGGAGGCCGCTCGACTGGCCCAGATGGGCCTGGAGGGCAACCCGGCCATCCTTGACGTGGAGTACGGCTTCGGGGTTTACTACGAAGACTACAACCCGTCTGTGATGACGCTCCCCGGTGTAGGTGGCTCAGGTTGGGTCCTCGAGGAGCAAGACGTGGCCTTCAAACGCCTGCCCGCTCATTTGGGAATGCACTGGGTGGTGGATGCCGCTCTCACAGCTCGCGCGAAGATCCCAAACTTGGACGTGGGTCAAATAAAACGCATCATCCTGCAAGTTCCGCCTTCCAAGTACATTGACTGCCCTTATCCCACAACGGAGCACCAGGCCAGGCATTCCTTTCAGTTCAACGCCTGCTCTGCCATTCTGGACGCCAGCTTGTCGGTGGGCTCATTCAGCAAAGTTCAAATGGAGCGTCCGGATCTAAAGGAACTCCTGGGCAAAGTACAGGTTCACGTTCCCGGGGATAACCAGGCCAGCTTTGAGAAGATGTACAGCGAGGTCGTCATAGAAACCTATCAAGGCGAGAGCTTCTCAGCAAGATGCGATTCATTCTACGGACACTGGAGGAAGCCACTGAAGCAGGAGGATCTGGTGGACAAGTTCATGGCCAACGCTTCCTTAGTATTGAGCTCAGAGGGAGCTGAAGGGGTTCTGCACACCATCGGAAACATGGAGACTGAGACAGAATGCACTGCGTTGCATTCATACATTAGAATGACGACTGAACATGACCACCGCTACGGATTAAGGGCTTTGTCTCAAAGTGGATGAGCAAAACAATGTTTTTACATTCCTTACAGACACTGGCACTGGCAAATATTGCAGCGCTGTATCACCAGCAACAAAATTAACAATACCTTGCGAAACCAAAATGGTTTTTTTTTTCAGATTAAAATAATGAACATTGTCATATATTTAAATAGTATGTACTGTATATTCCGTCATAATTTTTTTTTTTATATTTTCAAAACTAAATGTACCAGATAATTTAAAACCTGAATAAAATGTGCAATAAAAAGCATGTTTCCACATTTCTTTCCCCCAGTCAAGAAACAGCACCTAAAAGCAATTACAAACACATGAGCAATACTAAAGGACACATTCAGTTATTAAACCTTGAGCAGGCAGGGGTCCTACTCCATCCATTGTGTCCCAAATATAAAAATAAAATGAAAATGACGGATGCCGTTTAGACTTTGCAAACAATATTATCTCAGGTGTGAAGCAATGTTATACAAAGAACTGGATAATCTAAATTTTGATGCATTTATTGCATTTGTCTCTGCACAACAACACACCATTAGGTAGTAGATAGATTTATCACTTTTACTGTCTCTTTTTAACTTCCCCCCGACACACTCTGATACCCTCACTGTTTTCCAGTCCTAAAGTTCTCTAGTTCTGTCATGTTAATCTCAATATAAATATAGCCACTTCATTTGCACACTTTGCTCAAAAACATCCCATGGAAAATTTAATATCAGCTACTATGCATCATTATCATATTTCCTAGAACAAAATAGATATAGTTAAACCAAAAAGTCAAACTGCATGGTGCATATTGTATGTGGGAGTGCTTAGTTGTTTCCTACATTTTCAGGTTGATTGAGCATTTAGAATAAGGCTGGCTAAAACGTATTTTTCCTTGACCAAGTTTGAGCAAGCTTGATAGATTCAGGCTAGCTTGAGCACGCCCTGCACCATGGAGCCGATTCCATCGAACACCTCGTGGATAGGAGCATCGCACATGAAGGCGCAAGTGGTCACCAGCTTGTTCTTGTGGTCCACGTGGCTCTGACTCACAGCCGTGCTCATGTGTTTGCAGCCCAGCTGGTTGATGGCAGCCGCCGTGTCCGTTGTGTTGGGGTACCTAAAAGAGGATGGACCAGAGGCTCACGTCGACTGACGTTTTTCTGTGAAGTTAAGTTGAAGTGGTTTACACATACTTATCGTCATTCTCCAAGCCTACGGTGACCTCACATCCAGGAAACACTTTTGCGGCTAGCACAGGTGAGATGCAGCAGAGGCCGATGGGTTTGCCCTCGCTGTGAAACGCCTCCAGCACTGCCTTGACCTCGCTGTTGACCGAGCAGTCCTTGCCCTTCACTGCCCACGTGCACAGGTTCTTCGCAGCCCCGAAACCACCTGCCCAAACATGACAGTCATACAGTGCAACATGTCCTAATAAAACCAAAGTTGTAATTTCCTCAGACTGCTCATAATGTGATGGCAAAAAAATTTAATTGTGCAAGACTTAAAATGAATAGGGTGAGGGGAAAAAAACTTTATATTGCAAGAAAATTACTGCACTATTGGAAGTGTAAGAGTCAGAAAATACCTATGATCAGAAATTGTAATATTGCAATTTGCAGAATATTGCTACACTAAAGATGTGCATTGCGACAAGCCACTTAAGGGTATCAAACCGAGAAGGCGGCAGCGTGACGTCACCTGGGAATATGATGGCGTCATGATCTTTGACGCTGAGTTTGGAAAGGTCCTGGATGTTGCCACGGGCCAGCCTGGCGCTCTCCACCAGGACGTTCCTCTTCTCCTGCGTGGGCTCGCCCTTTGCGTGATCCACCACGTGCATCTGCTCCACGTTAGGAGCAAACATGTTCACCTGCAACCAAGACACGATGTCACCACACGCGCAAAGTCCAACGTCACAAGTCGACGCTACTTTCGCTTTTCATACACTTGCGCCTCCTCGGCTCAAATGCACCAAAATGGAGGAAGCTTCGTGGATCTCGCTGCCGTCGTAGACCCCGCAACCCGCCAAAACCACGGCCACGCGTTTGCTCATCTCTGCTACATTTTCAGGTTGATTGAGCATTTAGAATAAGGCTGGCTAAAACGTATTTTTCCTTGACCAAGTTTGAGCAAGCTTGATAGATTCAGGCTAGCTTGAGCACGCCCTGCACCATGGAGCCGATTCCATCGAACACCTCGTGGATAGGAGCATCGCACATGAAGGCGCAAGTGGTCACCAGCTTGTTCTTGTGGTCCACGTGGCTCTGACTCACAGCCGTGCTCATGTGTTTGCAGCCCAGCTGGTTGATGGCAGCCGCCGTGTCCGTTGTGTTGGGGTACCTAAAAGAGGATGGACCAGAGGCTCACGTCGACTGACGTTTTTCTGTGAAGTTAAGTTGAAGTGGTTTACACATACTTATCGTCATTCTCCAAGCCTACGGTGACCTCACATCCAGGAAACACTTTTGCGGCTAGCACAGGTGAGATGCAGCAGAGGCCGATGGGTTTGCCCTCGCTGTGAAACGCCTCCAGCACTGCCTTGACCTCGCTGTTGACCGAGCAGTCCTTGCCCTTCACTGCCCACGTGCACAGGTTCTTCGCAGCCCCGAAACCACCTGCCCAAACATGACAGTCATACAGTGCAACATGTCCTAATAAAACCAAAGTTGTAATTTCCTCAGACTGCTCATAATGTGATGGCAAAAAAATTTAATTGTGCAAGACTTAAAATGAATAGGGTGAGGGGAAAAAAACTTTATATTGCAAGAAAATTACTGCACTATTGGAAGTGTAAGAGTCAGAAAATACCTATGATCAGAAATTGTAATATTGCAATTTGCAGAATATTGCTACACTAAAGATGTGCATTGCGACAAGCCACTTAAGGGTATCAAACCGAGAAGGCGGCAGCGTGACGTCACCTGGGAATATGATGGCGTCATGATCTTTGACGCTGAGTTTGGAAAGGTCCTGGATGTTGCCACGGGCCAGCCTGGCGCTCTCCACCAGGACGTTCCTCTTCTCCTGCGTGGGCTCGCCCTTTGCGTGATCCACCACGTGCATCTGCTCCACGTTAGGAGCAAACATGTTCACCTGCAACCAAGACACGATGTCACCACACGCGCAAAGTCCAACGTCACAAGTCGACGCTACTTTCGCTTTTCATACACTTGCGCCTCCTCGGCTCAAATGCACCAAAATGGAGGAAGCTTCGTGGATCTCGCTGCCGTCGTAGACCCCGCAACCCGCCAAAACCACGGCCACGCGTTTGCTCATCTCTGCGGAATAGGTTTTATTCGCCACTTGGACGGTACTGCGTGTGAGGAAGTTTCGTCCACACAGTTGAAGTAGACTAATCATGGCGGCTGATGGCCTGACGTACAAACAGAAAGTAGGACAGGACAGCCCCCCTCGACCTTGTTCTCCAGTCATTTATCGATCGCCTTGGAGAAACAGCGCCCTCTACTGAAGAAGTTGGTATTGCAGGGAGGTTGAGTGTACGTTCATGTTTATCTGCTGTACATAACGCAATTACACTGTTTTATTTTATTATATAGATTCTTGATCATTCCGTAGATACCGAACAAAACACACACGCACGCACACACACACGCACGCACACACACACTCACACACACACACACACACACGCCCTCGCACACGCACACACACACGCACAAGCGCATACACACGCGCGCACACACGCACACACACGCGTGACTTGAATTCGTCAACAAAACCACGTGACTAGCTGCGCGGAAGTGAGCTGTGAAAAGAGTGGAATGAGAGACTGGGGCCACTTGTCCACGTTTTGAGCTTCGAACATGCCTCGCTCGGAGATTCATGTCTGTTTCTTCGTCTGGTTGACGTTTCTTCACGTCGCCAATGCGTTCAAGAATCAAACGTGGCCTGTGCCTTACAGGTAAGAAAACACGCAACGTCAAGTGATGTGACACAAATCCGGAACCCGCGCTTGCTGAACTTTTACTTTTATCACCAAATACTGTTGACAGCAGAATAACGTATTCAACATGTGTGCTAAAAACAAATTACTTATTAAATGTATAATAAGTACTGTATGTATTAATTTGTTTTGAACACACATATAATTGCACATATAAATTTGGTAACTGGCTTAATCGGAAAGGGGAAAGAAAATTGCGACATCTTCAACGGCCATATCATTCGGCACACTTGTCATGCAAGAACAGTTCTGCATTTGCAATAATATTAATAATAATATGATTGACAATGTCACCGATGTATTCATTTAACAATATGGTTATGGTTGCAATCTATAGGATTACAGGTATCACGGTACTGTTACTCCTACGTATCCGTTTCAAAACAATGTTTTTGAGTTCCAAACAATGAGGCTGTGTTTGCACAATGACAATCACTCTTGTCTTGACAAGCACATTCACTCTCACAGAATTTCTGGAATTGTAACCTCAGATGGAATTTCAACGATTTTAATGTGATAATTCAATCATTAAATGTGGTGGAGAAAGCAACTTTTTTGCCACAATTCTTTGTAAGTTTAAGTTGGGCTCGGAGAGACTTCATGAAGAGATCCAACTCAAAGTTTTACAGGCCTAAAATCACAATTGTGATTTACAGATAATGAGCCGTAATGTTAAGAGAAATAAAGGGTAATGTTGCAAGAATAAAGTATTTTTTAGGCCTAAACAGTCATACAAGGATGAATTTGTATTTTATGAGGAAAAATGTCATATTTTTAGAAAAAAATAATCAGAAGAAAACGTTATAATTTAGCAAGAATAAAGGCCCAATAGTGAGACAGAAAAAGTATGAAGGCGTGGGGGCCGAATTAAATTATACTATTATGAGGAAAAACTCATGACTTTATGTGGGAAAATTTGGCAATTACACACCAAACGTGTTAAGACCGAGAAAAAAACTAAGATGGTAATGCAGTAGATGATTGGACTTGTTCTTTGAGGCGCGTTGGAAGTGGATTTTTGGAACGTTTAAGCATAAATTGAAGTTTTCATGAAAACGTGTGCTCAACAGACGTTTCGACCGCCGTCCCCAAGTGGACGCTTACTGTCAAGCTCTTTACCCCTTCTGTCCCACCGGAGACCAAGATGGACGCATTCCCAACATGAAGGACACTGATGTCATTTCAGTGTATCGTCTGCAGACTCCCGTATGGGAATTCAAGTTTGGAGACATACTGGGAAAACTTGTAAGTCCAATTTGACGGAAAAACAGCGTCAGACCGGTGTGCCAGCGAGCAACGCTGTAACGCTTTTCCATTGTTTGTTTGTTAGCATATTATGCATGACGCTGTTGGCTTCAGCAGCGCACAGACGGGGGCCAACTACACTATGGAATGGTACGAACTCTTCCAGCTCGGAAATTGTACTTTCCCGCACCTAAGACCGGACGCGTTCGCCCCCTTCTGGTGCAACCAAGGCGCTGCGTGCTTCTTTGACGGCATCGACGATTTCCACTGGGCACAGAACGGCACGTTGGAGAAAATAGCAGAAATCAGCGGTAAGACTTTATAGAATAGATTATAATAAGAAGAATCTATCTGATACAAGAAGCACCTTCGTGATAAAGTGAAAAATATGAAAGTGCAAGCGGAGTTTGCGCAGCCGACCCACATAAACGTTAGCAGTGTAGCCACGAAACAATTAGCCGGCAACCACAGGACGAATTCAGCAATCGGTGGTGACATCTTGCACATTAACCCCTGTGTTAGTTTATATTTTTAGTTGTACTGTTTAATAGAAACGTTTGAAATTAATGAAAACATGTAGCAATCTCTATGTCACCGGAACGGCTGTCTACTTGTCAATTTACCCCCGGCTCTGACGTATTTCTGTAATTAATCATTGTCATATAACGTGACGAAATTTGAATTTACAAACCCGAGTCCTCTTCTCCGCTGTCGTTTGAGCCATTTTGATAGCGGCTCGAAATGCGTCTTGTGATATTTTCCCAGCCCGGATAGTACTGTCCGAGAATGTGATTCATCGTGTTATAAATGTTGGTTGGTAACATATTGATAGTGTAAATCAATGTGTGTGTTCAGGTAATCAGTTTAACGATCTGGCCCAGTGGGTGATTGACGACAATACAACGGGCATCTACTATGAGACGTGGACGGTGCTTTCGCACGCGGGTCCCAACGCCACCATGTGGTTCGAGTCGTACGACTGCTCGCAATTCGTGCACCGCACTTACCGCAAGATGAGCCAACTGGGGGCCAAACTGTCAAGCCGCTCCCAGACCAACTACACTAAGATCTACCTGTACAGTGGGGAGCCCGTCTACCTTGGCAACGACAGCGCCATCTTCGGCCAGCCGGCGCTTAAGAACCTAGCGACGGACATCCGGGACTTTTACAACGATTTCCGACCCCACCAGTCCATGGCGGAGTTTGCGCTGAGCATGCTGGAGGCTTACAAGAGAGTGGTGATGGACAAAAGCTTCTACTTTTACTACAACTTTGAGTATTGGAGGCTGCCAATGAAAGCTCCTTATGTGCGCATCCAGTACGAGGAGGTGCCTTTGCCTTCAAATTGACAAGCGAAATTATCTTTGCGTATTTAATAAACGAATTATTGTTGTCAATCCGACCAAATCCGGTGTCATTGTACAGCAAAAGAACAATGCAGTTGGTATGGAATCTATAGCGCCGCAGATAAGCTAAAAATGTCAGATTTGTCTCTTTTAGTCACATTTTTTAACCCATTCTTAATTTGTGATTGTTTTATGTCAAAGCAAAGTCCAGGTTGATTTATTGAAGTCTAATTTGTAATGCTTGATGAAAATGAGATCAGTTTGTCTTTTTGAAGATGAAGGGGGTAGTTCCTAACCCATTTTCAAACTTCGAGGTATTATTTTGTAAATGTCAGAACAAACATCCAGTTGGTTTCGAATTTAGCTGAGGTAATATATCCGTGTTCTTCTTTATGTCCAGCCAATCTCACCTTTTCAAGGATGACTGAAACATGTTTTTTTCTCTCAGGAACCATTTTTTTCCCAAAAGGTGTAATTAACTATGGTATATTAAGTGCCAGAAGAAAATTTAGGCTCAGATTCCAGTCAGTTTTCCTTTTTTCAAAATTTCCAACACATTTTATGGCTTCCTATCAAAACAAGAATGAAGTTTTGAAAGAGGAATGAAATGTCATAAGCAATGTTTCCATTCACAAATGTTTATTAGCAGTAGACCACATGTCCAAAAGTCATGTTCAAATCTCATGTCAGAAGAGCGGTAAAGCAAAGACGATCCACTTAAAGGACAACCAACACAACTCACTGGATCAACTTGTCAGCATCGGAAACAAATTTGTGTGACATAAGCATATAAAAAAAAAAATCTACTAAACAGCAAATGAGAGCTGCGGTCCATTCATTACACATCATTTCTTTCTGTACCATCATAATGTGTTACTTTGCATCTCCTGGATCATTCTTCATGCCTCTCACAATCTAAATGACATGATGGCAATGAAAGGCTTCCATTTACCATACTTAGCATATTATGCTAAAGGTTTTTACATGGCTACCTGTTTTTACTAATAAAATAATAAAGCTTTATTAACTTTTCACCTCTTCAATGTATCCCCCCCCCCCAACATGCTCAGATACTACCATACTTAACAGTTTTTCATTTGATAGTTTTATATTCATGGCCTAGAAGGAGTTTTCGTTAAGTTTTCCTGGTCCTGCGACTTCATACTTATCCCACTCACAAAAAAATTGTCACACCGTAACCAGGATTTTCTTATTGGGGGGTGGTGCGGGTGGCATTATACCTCAAAATACAATTTTTTTTTTGTCTATAAATGACATCTTGTCTAGTGACAACAAAACTGAAAAGATCAGACTACTAATTTGCGTTTTCCACTGCACGGCACCGAAACACAATCGACATTTTTCAAGCTCCAAGTTTCAGTACTTGGTAAGCTGAGGTTCCAACTTCCAAGCGTGCTGGCCTGCGAGTGTACGAGTGACTGTTTGGGAAACACCAAAATTGAACACACATGCTTGTGGTAGCTAACCTTAAGATGCTACAGTTCTCCTATCGGTGCAACTCAATAAATTAAGAGCAGGGATTCAGAACTGGTGAGCTGTGAGATCCTCAGGTATGCCCTTGGCAAATTTCACCCAATTGGCTCACAAAATATTTACAACAAATTCTCTTAGTACATCGATCTATGCCAATGATGTATAGTGACAAGCAGACTCATTGATTTATGTGAAAATTAACCCATTCAGTACTAGCCAATTCTAGACCAAGTCTGAAAAGACGTTTAAAAAAGTCTTTGGGAGTGAATGAGTTAAGATTGAATCATCATTATTCATTGTATACAGAGTACTTTTTGTGACATTTCTGTTCGGGAGTGTGCTCTGGGATTTTTTTTTTCCGAATGTGTAAACTATGTACCAGGGCTCAATAAGTGTTGGGAAAAATAATTCAATTCAAAAAGTGAAACTATTTACAAAATATTCACTTTGTGTCTCATTAATGAATGAGTAACAACTTTAGAAATGAACTATCGAAATAAATAGGATTTTGCATAATATATGATTTATTGAGATGCACCTGTATACTCCAGCCTCTATTTTGCTGCAGACCTCTGCTTTGTTACTTCCTGCAGTCTCCTCCTGAATAAAACACAGGAGACCTTTGTTCATTTTGTGTCTTTCCGAGCGATGACTTCAAAGGGACATTTTTTTTCCCCCCTGGACTGTATTTTTGAAGGGGGAAGACTAAACAAGGCAGCAGGTACTGCGCAGTGGAAATGCGGAATAGTCGACAGCGAAGGAACCCTGACAGGGTGAAATCAAAGAAATAAACATTTCTATGTCATTGCAATCAAACACACAGCGTTTTATATACAAATGCTTTTGACTTCCTTCTTAAAGGAAAAATTTCACTCGTCTGAACTTGCCGACAGGATCGCTATCTGAACTTGCGGCATTTTCTAACCCCACTGCAACCCCCACGTTGGGCAGAATGTACAAGAAGTTGTTTTTACGAAATGCACCTGAGCGACCACGAAAGCGCGCGGCCAAGTTAGAGCAGCTAAAAAGCCGACCAGTCGACTATTGGCGGGTTACAAGCAATTTTAACTACATACATTTCTATACATGTATTGACCACCGCTCCTCCTGCTGGGATCATTTGGTATTGCCATAAGGTGCTTAAGGGAAAATTCACTTGAACAAAAAAAACAACAAAAGCCAAAGGGGGAAAAAAAAAACATCATGGGAACGAGCAAGAAAATGAAAACGTTAACTGTCAATGGACACTGTACAACTTCACGGGACAAATACGGACGTATTTACACATTTCTCTCTCAGTCCTGGTTCCGATTCCATTTGCGGCGGCCATCTTCAGCAAATTAATTCCAAAACCCCTCCCCACCTTAATGCGGTGTTGGCCATTTTAGTGCTAGTGCAATTGTGCGCTGATCTCCCCCTTGGAAAAATTTCCAGCAGCCGTGCGGCGACAAAGAATCCCGATGAGCTCTGTAGATGGCCAAGGCTTGTCCGAGTCGCGGGCAAACATTTTGGAGTATATTTAGAGACTCCGGGGTCCACCTTAGTAGTTGTTGTCGTCGTCATCCTCCCCCTACCAGGTGGGCATCATATCCGGGAACCAAACCCGGCCGAGGTGCTTGGAGACCTCCCAGTGGATCTCGTCCAGGGAATATTTGTGATCAGGGATGAGCACCTCCTCCATGATGGAAAGCTGCGACAGGCGTCGTCCACACATCTTGACGAACTCCACGAAGGCGCTGCAGGACACCTCGCATTCTCCCAGGCCGATGGCTGACAGCTGCGTGCAGCGCTTGGCGATGCGGATCAGTTCCTCGTCCAGCGGTCGCAGGCCGTTGGCGCACACCACCAACTCCACCAGGCGGGGGCAGTGCAGGCCCACGCGGCCCAGCACCTCCTTACTGACGGAGCGACCGAAGTAAAGATGCGTGACGGGGATCTCGTCGTTGAAGAAGGGCCCAAACTCGTCCTCGTACAGGAAGAAGTACATGACCAGGTTGAACTTGGGCGAGTGCCGCACCATGGCGTCCCAGCTGCTCTTCTTGATGCTGTGGAAGTGCTGGCCCGGGTTCTCGCTCACCACGTCGATGCGCAGGTGCTCCAGGTGCACGTGCTTCTCCGAGGACAGAGCCAATAGGAGCTCGTCACTCAGCAGGTGGTAGTTCAACGCCAGCTCACGCAGCCCGTGGCACTGGTCCGCCACGCACAGGATCCCTGAAAAAAACAATAAAAAAACAAGTCTTCTATTAGCGTATTTTCCGCACTAAAAGGCGCACTGGATTGTGAGGCGCACCTTCAATGAATGGCCTATTTTGTAATTTTTTTCATATATTGGACGCACTGGATTATAAAACACAATCCACAATGCATCCACTAGATGGCGCTACGCTCCTTCCGTTCGACTCGAGAGGCATTCCATGACAAATTTACAAGAGAGCCTGTGTGAAAGGGGCTTGAGTTGCGGCTTTGACATTCCTAGCAAAGGCAGAACATTTGCCTGGGTGAATAAAACCAGGCAGTTGGGCTCCGGTCGCGTACCTGCCGGCGAGACGTGAGGGCAGCTGCTCATCTTGAGCAGCTTGAGCGTGTCGCTGTTGTTGGCCACCAACACCTTCAGCGACGGGTCGTCCACCGGCGTGTCGTCGATCTTCAGCGACGACAGCGACTTGGAGTTGACGAACACCACCGTCAGCGCTGAGATGAAGTGAGACTGGATGGATGAACCCCCGCCCCCAAAATATTATTAGAAATTTTTTTTTTTAATGAATAATTCCTGGCTCCAAAAACTAAACCAAAACCTTGATGATGTTTGAAATTGATAAGAGTGTGACAAACTGGAAGTCAGCACACAAGTAAAGGTACATTTCTGGGTCAGGATGGGCTGAAGCCAATTCAAAAACATTCTTCCTTCTGTAGAGCTCAAAACAAACTTCTTTCATAACAGTAGACGATGGATGTTGACGCATTTATGATACCTTTGGGACCTCCATGAAACTGGGCCTGGCTGTTGAGATGAGCCCCAAGGTCTTGAGTGAGCAGTTCACCAACTGTGAAAGAATGTCACATGCCGCCTCTGCAGACTCAGTGCTGCTGTCCACCTGGCAAATACCATGTAAAACAAGAGGTGTTAAAACCCAGATCTGTTTTTTTTTTTTTCCTTTTAGGCCTCATAAATATTTTAACCCGTGCTCAGGATTGGCGCTCGTACCTTGAAGCTGACATATTGCAAGTGGTTGGAGTGCCTCTTGATTATCTGCTTGATCAAGTCCGGGTGTGTGGCTTTCAAGTAAGAGCTGGCCGGCTGGTTGAGCTCAAATTCAAAGCAGCGCCATAGCTCGGGCATGTGGAATGCCTGGTTCCAACCGCGGCACACCTGCGAGGCGAAGGCCCGGTCCAGCAGAGGGAGGTACTGGAAGATGTGCAGCAAAAGCTCCTGGGGCAGACGAGCCCAGTTGGCATCTAGTGAAGCGCCTGCCTCCAATAACGGGCTCGACTGTTTCTGAATTTTCTTGCGAGCCTCGGGTGGACTCATACTGGGGGAGCCACTGCCCTCCTCCTTGGGGCCTTTTATCCTCTTCATCCTGAAACATGACAGGTTCATGTCAACAAAGCTGGCCACAATTGCAAATTCATCAAAACAGGGCATGCTATGAAAAACAGGAGTTGGGGAGAACAAAGCTGTCCTCTATTTCATCCAAGTGAAAGGTGACTGAGGGCATCCAGACAATGGAGAGTTGTTGCAAAGCTTGACTTGGTTCTTTTTTCCACCGGAAAGGGCTAGACTAAAATTGACATGAGTGTTTATTGTAATCATTGATAGACATGTGTCATGAAATACGAATTGTTGTCAATTTCACCCACAGACTAAGAGCAGCCAGAATAACGCAGTGTTGCAGCAAAGTAGAGTCTATAGAGCATAACATTGCATGTGAGCATGCGTGTTTACCGTTGGCATTCCTAGCCATTTATTATTAAATGCAAATTTAAGTCATTTTTATCCAAAAGGAACCGTACCCAGAGCTGCAAAAGCAACAAATTAAGATTACGTAGCATGCATTTATTTTTGACATTTCTAGCCAGGTTTTGATGCAAATTAATGGCAGTTTTATTTCTTCTAAGAGGAAATACGACTTGACGTAGTCTATCTTCAAATATTAAAACCCAATATATAGAACGTGAGATAAAGTTCCGGCCTCCCTATGTGGAGTTTGCAGTTCTCCCACCGGGCCTGTGTGGGTTTTCTCCAGGTACTCGGGTTTCCTCCCACATTCCAAAAACATGCATGGCAGGCTGATTGAAAATTCTAAATTGTCCCAAGGGGTGAGGGTGAGGGTGAGCATGGATGGTTGTTTGTCTGTGTGTGCCCTGCGATTAGCTGGCAACCAGTTCAGGGTGTACCCTGCCTACTACCCGAAGACAGCTGGGATGGGCTCCAGCACCCCACGCGACCCTTGTAAGGATAAGTGGATCGGAAAATGGATGGATGAGATAAAGTGATCTTGAAAATCAAGTGAAAATTCATACGGTACGAAGTTCAAACAACGCTTGTACAAAATTTCAGTTTTCACTTATCGAAACAAATAAGTGTGGGAGACGACGCTTTCAATTGACGTATACGAGAGCTAACGGCAAGTTTGCAAGCGTAATGACAACGCAGTGGTAATTTTGACGAAAAATTGTAGGCTTCTTGTCACGAGGCTGTCCACGGGTCATGTTAGCACACTAAACAGCCAAGAGTTAAACTAATTCACCGTAGTGTTGTTAATTCAAGCATATAAATGCGTTGTAGCAGAATTCCCGCGACGCTTACCCACCTTGTTTACACTCAGCTAGCTTGCTAGCAGGAAAATCTGACAACCGAGATGACAGCTCAGCCTGGGCCCACGCTGGAAAAGATCATTCGGGCCAGGAAAATAACAAGCATCGGAGCTCAATCGTAGGCCCTTTCCCAAGCGGTAAAAACGTAATTAAGCGAAGTTTAAGAGCAAGAAGGTGCCACAGTAGCGCCTCGGTTTCAGTTGACCTACTTCCCTCGCTAACAGGAGTTCAAGCTCTGCCCCCCTGAGCCTGAAATGGCGAAGTGTTGTTTTCAAAGTCGCGCTGCATTGTGGGATTAAAAGCAAAATGGTGGCCAGCTCAACACGCGCGATTACGAGTCGCTTATTTCGTAAAAGTCACGCCTACTTTTGAAATTTTATGTGCTTGTATACTTATAACATTACATATAAAGCAAATACAGCCATTACATATATATATATATATATATATATATATATATTACATTTATTACATTTTAATTTACTTCTCAAATCCTTATAAACAATGACCTAAGAGCACATATTTGGGCCCGCAGTGTTATACTCAACTCCATCCACTACAGATGTTACAGAGCAGAGTCACAACTTTTAAGTTTTTATATATATATATATATATATATATATATATCAGCTGATGTTTTCCCACAAAAATGACCCATTTTTGTGACCGCAGTCTTAATCAGATGTTCAGCTGTTATCGGGCCCACTAAGGTTTGTTGTTACGTTTGTATTGCAAAAAAGATTTGGTAAATAAATAGGATGTAAATTCGCCATAATTCCTCCACATCCTCAGTAACAAAAAAAAAAAACAAAACAGATGTGACAATTAGAAGAGCAGGGCCGTTGACTGTATAAAAATGTACAGTGGCTTTATTGACATACATTCCAAAGACTTTTTTTTCTTTTTTCTTTTTTAACAGCTGCAAAACAGGAGGCACGCCCAGTATTGCACTTCATTCAAAGTTCTGGCTCAAAACATAACCCAGAATATATCAAAGAAAAGTGAAGTGAAAAGTAGCAACTTTCGGAATACAGCTAATTTGAATAGTAGCATTATATACAAGATTAGATAAATCGTACACTATTTTCCTTCTAAACAATGTTCTTATAACAGTCTTACCTGACAAACTTTTTGTATGCACTTGACAGTTGGAGAATACTGTACATGATTACGAAAAGTGTTTTACATACAACATTTTAAATGTATAATAACTGAGAAGCTGGAAATACGGCCTGTTCCTTTTTTTTTCTCTTAAATAATTCAGATGATTTTATTTTCATCTGGGTGACCAGGAGGGGCGCAACATGGAGAGAAGCCGAGGGAATACGACGGCCACATGCAAACACGCCACAGGTTATTTTCTTCTTTATGTATACATTTTTTTCATCGTTGTTCGTCTTTTCCGCACAGGTATCCTAAAGGATCCAAAACGGAGCCTGGATACTGACCGGGTTGGCAGAACAGCAGACCTCAGGGCTCTCGACTAGCCCGAGAATCTGCATACGTTTCCTGCAGGGAGGAGCCAAGCTTCACATGCTGAATGCGCTTCAGCAGCCAACCAGCCAGCCAACAGGCCAGAAATCACAGTGGACAATATCAGTTCCCAATGGTGGAACTCTTGGTTAAAAGGTGTGTGCGTTCCTGCACACGCCGCAGCCCAAAGCAAACTCCTCCCCCGTAGGTGGGTGGACGACATGCAGGGGACATTCGGTTCCCTCCAGCTGCTTGCCTTTGGGTCCTGTGACAAAGATGAGCAGAGGGTTTCAACCTCAAATATAAAAAAAATAATCATAATAATCTACGATATTTCGAGGTTACAAATGCCAGGCGGTGTAAGAATATGTTGTGACGCGGCACAAGAAAGCACGCTCATTTACCACCGTACTTCCTGTTTTTCATTCGTTTTAGATTTGCGGCCTCAAAGTGTTTTTCATCCAAGTATTCACTGTAATGATGACGTTTCAAAGGTATGAGGGGGCATATCATGCAACAGACTAGTTTGTGTAGCAGCATCGGACTATGTTTTCACGGGTTACAAGAAGGCACGCTCAGCTACTGCCACACATACTGATTTTCATTTGATTTATTTACATTTGTGGCCGAGAAATGTTTGCCAATTAATATAATGTGAAGGTTAGTGGCAGACTTTGGCAGGTTCTGACTGATGGACAAATTCGAGTTACGTCGCCGCCAGAGGAAAACAATTGAAGACCCCCTGTTGTTAAACTGGAATCTTTGCACTCAACCTCCAATTCCAAGTTTGCCACTGAAATAGAAATGATCGGCTCCACTGTCAAAATTTTTTTTCAACCGCTTGTCCTCAGTTTGGGGTGACTCGACTTTAGAGGTCCCGCAGTTTTTCTGAACATCACAAGAAGAACAGTTCCTGTGTACCCGCGGGGCAATGCGGCAATTCCTCTTTGGGGACGCTGGTCATCCTCTGGAAGTCGTCGTGGCAGGCGTTGCAGAAGTGCGTGGTGCCGAAGCAGAAGAACACGGCCACTGAGCAGCAGTAGCGACATTTGTACTCCAGGAAGTCCGTGCCATGCTTGGAGCACATCTGGGGGGAAGGACATCGACAACACACCTCAGCATCGTCAACATCTCCACAAACCTAAAGCAACACCGACTGTTGCATAAAATAAAATCACAACACAAACTATTGTTAAATGAAAATAAATAGGTTCCAAAATGATTCAATGAAACTTTTAACTGTCTCATAATTTGCTGCAAAAAAACTAAGCATAAAACAGGATTGCTTTTGATTCCTACAAATCACAAAGTATCCGGGCTGCCAAAATTCCCTATGGGAAGTTTTGGGGGAAATGGTTGACCCTTTGAAATAGTTTTCAGAATGACTTTAGTGACAACTTCATTAAAATGAAAAGGGATTCTTTCATTTTTGTTCCGTGCACACAAAATATCCCCACTAAAAGTTATGCTATGGCAATCATTTGTTTACAACATGACATACAGCGCCACATTTGGGTCGTGGTGTCGGTATCGTATGTCTACCTGAGCCCTGGAGACATCAGAGCATGCTCCACAAATTAGCTCGCTGGGGTCATAGTCGTCGCCTTGCCCCGCCTCGGCGTCGCAGCGGGCCTCTCCTCCGAAATAGGCCTGAAAAGAAACACATTAGCTCAAACGGCCACCGTTTAAACACTGTTTGGTTTAAAGGGGTACCTTCTTGCACTTGTAGCAGACGTAGTAGGCGTATCTGTTCATGGCAAAGCCCGCCGGGTCGTTGTGGAAGCGTGCGCCCGGCGTGGTTATGGCCTCGCTCTTGTGCAGACCCTCATACTCCAGCCTCATCAACGCCTTCCTCCTCACGTCCTCATAGAGCTCCTTGATGGGGTCTAGCAGGTCCTTGATCACCGAGTGGTTGATCTTATTCTAAAGGACAAAACGTGCGAAAAGGTGGTTTCAGCAAACAAAAGGCTCATAGGAGTGTAGGATTAAATGTCGCCTCTTTGTTACAGAAGAAAATCCGCTCAGGTCAGCTCACCTTGCAAATTGGACACAACATGAAGCCGAATGTGATGCGGGGCCCAAGCCAGCGGTTCTCCAGAACACGCCGGGTGCACTGAAGGTGGAACACATGAGTGCACTCGAGCTGGAGATAATAAAAAAAAAAAAAAAAAAAAAAGAAATTATGGTAATTCAGGTTTTTTTTTTTTAATATAATATCCTAAACTTCACTCTTCATTGAGTTTCTTCAAATACAGTCCAGTGGTGCTTTTTTCCTTTCTTTTTAGCACAACTGCAGTAAGTGTGTTTATTACAGAGGAGGCCTTATTTGTATAGAAGTAAATTGTTATCTTAATACCTTAATTGCCAAGGTCATTTCAGACGTACTGTTACCAAATCAATTAAAAAATAAAATAAAATAGGAAGCAAGTATAATTATTACACTTTCATTCTGTGATTTCCTCGATGGAATCTATGGTGGGATGACATACCTGTACAGCGGGGGCAGCAGAGAGCGCCTCAGTGAAGCAGATCATGCACATGTCGTCCGCGTCTTGCTTCAAGCAGCCCGTATTCTTGTCGCAGCCGTGCAAGCACGGGAGGCACGACTCCTCGTTCTTGACTCCGCCACACGGGTGCCCGCATGGGTGCGTCTTGCTGCATGCCAGCTTGGAGTATTCCTGCGGGAGGAAAAAGGAAATGAGAAGCGAAAAAAAAAATCACGTTTTTTTTCTTGATATAAATTAAGATCCCTGAAGGAGAGGAACAAGGTCCCACATATATCCTTTGGTAAGCATGCTGGCTTTGAGACACGAGATCAATCTTAAAACCAGTCAATGTGAACTGGGTACAAGATGCAGCGACAAAGCAAAAACTTCCTTTATTTCAGTAATTCAACGAAAAATGTTAAAGTAATATATTATCGAGATTCACTACACAGAATGAAATAGTGCATGGGTTTACATTCTATAATTTTGAGGATTAAACTATCTTTCAAACATCTCATAGTTATTACAAATCAGATCACAAAGTGTTTTGTTTTTTTGAAATTGGGACAAAAGATAAATTTGTGTGTTAATATAATGATAATAATAATAATATTGTGTCCATGATCCTCCACATGGGAAGGTTGGGAGGAATCCCCTCTGATTGGATAACCAGGGTATCCGTTGGGAAAAGTCGGCACGGGGAATGCTGGAGCTGTAGGCACATTTATGGAACCTTTTAAGTTTTTTTGAAATTACAAAAACAATACCATGTGATGTTCCACAGTATAAATAGGATTTGTACTGCCCCCCCCCAAAAAAAAATCTACTCTAGGTTAAAGACAACTCTACATTGTCCATAGGTGTGAATGTGAATGGTTGTTTGTGTTTATGTGCCCTACAAGTACAATAGAAAATGGAGGGATTGGTACAGAATGGAAACTGTAAAGTAAGAATAAGTTCTTAGGAAGCAACTTTGAGTGGCATTCCTAAATTACAATGATCAACAATTTTTTACGAAATGCTTTTTAATTTTTTTTTTTTTTTGCACTGATTCTTAAATTGCCCTGTTTTTTTTCTTTCTCTAGAACATCAGGTTTTAATGTTAATATAATGATAATAATAATAATAATAATAATAATAATAATAATAATAATAATAAAGTAGAACAATATTTAACTATGTTAGCAGTACATTACACTTTATGTCAAATGAAAGTGGAATAAACGAAATAAAAATGTCAGAAATGGGGCGGAACAAATATGTCACATAGCTTTCAGGAAGAAAAGGAGAGGGATGCTGCTCTATGCTGTCACCAAGAGATTCTATTTTAATCTCGAAGATGGTTTACCTGACAGTCGGGGTCAGAGCAGACGCTTCCAACCGCCGACAGCTCGGTTCCATTCCTTGTTCCGCAGAACCTGCATGCATCTGAGCTGCTCGACGCAGGCTTACCTAAAAAGCATGTCCGGGAGGGTTAGAGGGAAAAGTGTCTCTTCTGCGTGTTGCGTGTAGCGCGTCAGTTTACCTGTGTGTTCTCTGAACTCCACCATGGCCTTCATCGTTTTGGAGTCGGCCAGTGCCATGAGCCAGAAAAGCTTGGTCCTCCCGCAGCCTTCGTGGAGGTCCACCTTGATGGCCTCTTCTTCCTCCTTGAACACCTGACAATCGCCATCGTAAAAGCAATGAACAAACACCAACTCTCGTGTAATAATGGTACACATACAAAAAAAAAAGTTGCAAAATGCTGACCTGTCTCTGGTGAGAGCGCGTGCGTCGGTGCAGGTGGAGGAAGCGGTCGCAGTCAGTGCACAGGTTGCCACACATGTTGCAGAGGATGATGGCTGCCGTCTCGCCATCATCGTGGTTGTCGCACATTGGCTGTGAAGAGACCCCCCCCAAAAAGATTTCTAAAGATTGTTGCTCAGTTATTCCACATTCCTTTGTTTTGGGGTGATCATCTCATGTCTTACAGTCAACAGTTACTTATTGCATCCGAGATTGAAGATGGGTTCTTCTATGAATATGGAGACAATCTATCATATGTTAGGTTTGCTGCATTTCATTTGTCTATTTAGACCCATTTATATCCAATATCTTTTATTGCGACTACTGGGAATGGTAATAAATTGTGAAATAAATGCATCTGTCTCATTTGTCCTAAAACAAAACATGAATGATTCATTTCAAGGCTTTTCTGAACGACATTTTGTCTGAGTAAAATTTTCGCTTCTATTACAGATTATGGTCCAGATCCATAGCAAAAGGTGTACAGTATCTATTCTTTCTTTTCACATTAATAGTACTAGCATTTTTTTCCTTTTCATTTCTAGCTCTTACCATCTGCTTCTGCTGTCCATCTTTGCCCATCCATCGACCAGATGACAGCCTGTCCACATGATCTTGGTCCAGCACACACAGGGAAGCTAGAGCCAGCCACAGCTAGCAGAAGCATGAGAAAAAAAACACGAGACATTAATACCACAGAAGAAGAAGTCTTGAAGCCGAGTTAAACAGCATACCCTGGTGGTGGCAATGCAGCGCACAGGCGAACGATGCTCCTCCTCCATTTTGGTGAGAGCTATGATAGTCTCAGCGATTGCGTTTTTCGTGACTCGTGACCATGCGTCCGAAAGGTGACCCTGTAAACGAGAATCGTGGTCACCTTATAGGGTTGCATTGGTGGCATACGAGTGCACACGATTAAAAAGGATGGTGCTTACTGCTGCCATGTCTTTGACCAATTTGATGATGATCTCTGCAATCTGAGGAGGAGTGGAGCCTTTCATCCACCAGTGACTCTCCCCTCGCCGGATGTAGCTGCACACAAATACAAATGAACATTCACCTGCTGTTTGTCAATCTTTCTCCCAGAGGGAGCCAACCCACCTGGAGTTAAAGATCATTGGCAGAGTGACAGTGGTCACCCCTTTGCCGGCAGCCATGCCGGCAGTGCCAGAGATGGTGGTCCCTTTGGCCTTCAACTGCACGGTGAGCGCTTTGGCAATGCAGCCCAAGAACATGTCCAGGATGCCCATCTTGTTCCAGTCGCCCTTCTCCGTGGAGTGGATGATGTCGCTGATGTCCGCCGGCGGCAGAGACTTCACCCCGATGATGCTGGCGAGTCGCACTGGCGTCACCTCCGGAAGGACCCGTCGCAGCAACGACGTCACCTGGGATGAAGTGCGCACATACACCGCATGGAATGTTACCGTGGGAATGCTGAAATGCTAACGTGGATTTATCATTTGACTGTTGTCCTGCTAGTGTTGTATTGAGAAGAATAATTGATGTAAACAGTGTTTAATCAAAGAATGGTTTCTCTAAATTCTTACATAACTCAGTCACAACAAAAGGGGAAGTCAAGTCAAACATTTGCTTGACAGTAATATGGTCTAAACTCTGTATTCTGATTAATATTGTGCTTGTTCATCACGAACTAAGAAGAAAAATCCACCTGTTTTTATCCAATTCAGTGAACCGTCATTTTGCCGCTGACTGAAAATAACATCACAGGGCCTAAGGGGTCACCTTGCGACTGTCACATGACCAAACCCAGAAAACAGCTGAGCGGTGATGGTCGTTACCTAAACTCTTGAATGCCCTGCACACATACTTTTAAGCTTATGCGGGTCTCCTAAATATTATTTTATATTCATTCTAACTGTCAAGCCGCCCAGAGGTTTCGCAATAGTGTGGACGTAGGTCATCTTTAGGCCAGCGTTTCAAAACCTTTCGTGAGGAAAACTGAGAAATTGGTTAACAAGCTATGAAAAGGAATCCGTTCAGTGGACAACAAGCACTCTTAGCACTGTACAAAAAATTACACTCTTTTTTTTTCTCCACACATTATTGTTCAGCCTCGCTCACCTGTCTCTGGACGCGTGGCGAGGCCGTGTGCAGCAATGAGAACAGGTCCTGCATGAGCGTCAGCTGCTGCGCCAGATACTGGCGCCCCACGTTGGAGCCGCTCAGCGCCAGCACCATGGACAGCAGCTCAAAGCAGTAGGCGTCCGAGGAGGCGTCGTCGTCACTCGGCTGCGAGTTGGCATTCTCCTTACTGGAGATCGCGTGCTCCCATTCCTCTCTCACACGCGTCGCCTCCATGCGGATGGCCTGGACGATGTGTGCGCACACCTGTCAAGAAAAACAAATACACAATGTCTTTTGCGGTGGAACTTAATCTTGTGCTGATCGCGTCTTGAACCTGACCTGTTTCTGCAGGTTGGTAAGTTTGCTCCGACTGAAAATGATTCCGACCATGTGCTCTTTGAGGTCTGCGTCTGATGGTACCTATTAAAAAAAAAACAATAAATAAAGTGAAGCGTCACAAAAAATGTTGAAAAGTATACTGTTGAACTTTTCAGCGCAGACCTTTTCCTCTCCTTCTGGAGACGAAAGGAGATTTTTCTCCTCCTGCTCTGGGGTTGGCTCTGCATCTCCACAAATTAGCTTCCCAAACACCTGGGTGTACACAAAAAAGATGTCGTGATGAAACACTTACATCATAGGCAGTATTGCAGTTGTGATTTTCATATTTCTTACAAACAAATCTTGAACCTTGGCTGTGACTCAGCAAAAATCTGAATTTTCTTTACACATGTAATGGTGTGTATTTATGTTTACCTGTGAGGTGATGAGGCGAAACACACGCAGCGTTTCACCCTCGCAATTTTTCTGCTGCGCCATGCTGGCTGAGATCTGCCCAGCGATCTTGATGCTGTCGCCCTCCTTCCAGCCCAGCACCTTCACTTGCCGCACTCTCAATGTGTTCTCGGGCCCTTTCAGCTCCACCTTAATCACGTGATGATCTCCCCCGGGGAGCTCGCTCGTCACCCAACCCATGTGACGTGAGTCTAGGTCAACCTAAGATGGAAAAAGGTGGACGTTGAGGGGGCTCTCTGTGAACACCCGCCTAACTGGCTATTAAGTACACACGTTTTCTCACTGTCTCACCTGCTTAATCCTGCAAAGGTCTTCTATCGCCTTTCCACACAGGAAGGTCACCGAGGTCACTTTGTTCTATGAATTCGGTGGGGAAAAAAAAATGAAGCTGAAAAGGAAACATCCCAGGTCTGTTGAATGAACAATGGTGTCTCTTACCCCAAGGTCCCTGGAGTTGTCTACATGAACAGACACATTGGAGGCATTGATGCCTTTCACACAGCTGATGGTGACGCTCTTGGTTTTGTTTTTATCTTCGTCCCCGGACTCCCAGAAGGTCTCAGTGGAGCCGTCCGTCAGGCTGCCAATCATGGCGGGACGACTGGATGTCTTGATGTCCACCACGCTGGTCAGGTCTTTCAGGCAGGTGACCAAGCAGAGATCCTATCAAGCGACGACGCATTAGAGTCAGCGGACGTTGCGAATATTCCATCAGCGGTACTCGAGTGTTGGGTTTCTTGCCTGGCTAATGGCTTCGTAGCCTGACTGAACGCTGATGTTGAAGCTTTCCTCGCTGTCGCCGTCATCCGACTTAGAGAGTATGTTGTTGATGTGGTGAAAGACGTTGCTCTGGTGTAGGAACTGGTGGTCGGACTGCTTGAACTTGAGACTCCAGCACCTACAAGAGTGAGATACATCCTTTCAAAGCTACAAAAAACTTAAAACTAGTACGAAAAAAAAAAAAAAATATGGAGGTATGATACCTTAGCGCCATTTGCTGAAGCGAGCTTCCACTAGGAAGTGACATCATGAGGTCGGAGATGGTCTGGAGGAGGCGGTGGAAAGTGTGGGGGAGCGGGTGGGCCGCCTCCCCTGCGATAACTATGTCGGACAGAGGGTGCTCACAAACGCCGAGGTCTCGTTCCTGTGAGGTGTGATGATGACACACGGTGAGAAAATGCAGACGCCCTCAAACAAAAGCAATACTTTTTAACAGCTCGACACCTGTTCAAGGTTTTCTTTGATGCCCTTGGTTTCGTCATCTTCCTCGTCTTCTGGTTCAAAAGGCGATGGAGTTAGAGACGCTACAAAATGCCACAGGATGTCATGCAGAGAAGTGGTCTGGATCACATTGCACAGGAGCCAGTTGAATGCCTGATGGGACACCAAGAACACATTAGTGCTTCCATTACCATATAGAAATGAGCAAAGTTGGATGAGTTTGGCATGGAAGAATTTACCTGTAATCGAGTCAGCACCGTGTGGTAACATACATTTTTTGTGCTAATTCATCAACTTTGAAGCAAATCAGATATCGTTGGATGCCCAGCAATCAAAATAAGGCATTACCTTATTATTGTATTTTTGCAAATAGCTGCTTCAGGATTTTTATTTTCTCAAGTGCAGATCAGGGGACGTTTCTATTAGACTTCAAGTATCTGCAGTAGAGTTTGAGTTCAATAGTTTTAGCAGTTTCTATATCTGCAAAGGGGGAGACCAGCTCCATATTATTTTACTGTAGGAATCATAACCAGGTGTCCTCATATTTTGAGATTAAAATTAAAACTAAATAAAACTGGCGATTGAAGAAATAACTGCCGTACCTCCATGGCAAACACCCGGCATGCGGACTTCCTCAGTGCATGCCTCATGGCCACCTCCAGGCCCTCCAGATCGTGATGCTGGATGACAAATGCCAGCACGGGCCACTGGAAGTTCCTCTCGCCTTTGCTGAGGGAGCCGTGGGCGGATATCAACCTGGACAGTTCAGGAGAAGGGTGGCGCAACAGGGAAGAACCCACCTCTGTAAAGAGGACGGGAAAAAGGGTCAGAAGACATGATGCTCGCACAACAAATGCAAATGCTCAACACGTCGAGTTGAATTACCCGCATCACCGCTGTGGACCCTGCGTCTGGGAACGGCTTTGACTCTGGCCGGAGAGGGTGAGTGTTGCTTGTCGTACTCTGAGGCAACGACGGAGTAAGACCTCTGGAAAACAGTGCGCTTGGCTGTGTCGCTGTCTGTGATCGGGCTGGTCTCGAGGCTGAAAGATGACACATGATAGACGGGATATAATTAGCCTATATTATTGACAAAAGTTATGAGAAGTCATTTTCTACAGTACTTGTTGACATGAGGGTTGCGGATGAAATGGGTCATCACCCAATGGCAAGGCACATATGAACAAACAAAAACAAAAAAAACATTCACACTCACAATCATACGATTTTGTCTTTTCAATGAATCTAAATGATATGCTTTAGTCATGTGGGGGGGAAAAACCCACACAAACATGGGGAGAAACTCCACAAAGAGAGCCGGAGCCAAACCTCAGAATGCCCCCGTGGCAGATGTGCCAACCACTGGTGTGCCTAGTGTGTGACAATCAGTTAGAAAAGAAAGAGGGTGTCTGGACACTTTGATGAAAAGAGTTCTGAAATCCCTGCCATTGGTTGGCAACTGGTTCAAGGTGTCCCCCACTGGGATAGGCTTCAGCACCCCCCGCGACCCTTGTGGGGATAAAGCGGATCGGGAAATGGATGGATGGATGAAGTTATGAAACAGCCCACTTGTATGTCGCAAATTCAAGTGTTTTGGAGATCATAATTTGTGTTGCAGACAAACGATAAAAGCGACGTATCGTGTCTTTGCGTGGACTGTGGTACAACAACAAAAAAATTAAACAAACATTTTACAACTGAACTATTTGAGGTTGGGTGTAAGACGTGTTTACCTGGGAGGCATTGACTTCATGTTGCTCTCCGGTTCTTCAAAAACATTCGGGCAGGCGTCGGGGGTAACCGAAATGTAGGGCGCAGGAACCGACGTGGATCGCAAATACCTCATCTCATCTTGGAAGAGATTGTCGTCTTGGTAGGCGCCAAAGTTCTCCGTGTGTTGCCTTGAAGATGAACGTGAAATTATTGTCACGCATGCACTTGAGCTCTATTCTTGAAGTTGGCTTGCTACCTGGCGAGTGTCTGTAGGTAGAGGCAGCTCATTTTATTGGGAAGCTCGGCCGACACGCCCTCCTTGAGGCTTGGAAGCAGCTGGGAATGAAGCGGCCGGGGAGGGTGGTGGCACAGTATGCTGGGCTCAGCGGCGCTGCTGAGTGACAGCAGGAACAAAGCGTTGGCCCGGATCACTTGGTGGGCCTCCATGGTAGGCAGGGCTCTCGGGGTCTTCACCTGTAGTGGCTTCTTCCTGGACTGCTTCACCTGGCAAGGAATAGATAATGGAGTAAATCAGGGAAAATAACAAGCAGAAGTACATTCAGTGGACAATTCGAGGGAAATGTGGGACACGAGAGAATTCAATATTCTTTAATCTATCTAACAATTAATTAAACTAATTAATCTAACATTTATCCATTTCAATTGACCACTCCAGGATGGAGTCAGCTGGGACAGCCCGAGTTTAACCTAGATGAGCTTTTTCAATTACGTCGTGCAGGTTATCGCTCACATTAATGAATTTCTTAATGCCCGCAAAGAACCAGAGGGTGAAGAGCGTGAAGACCGATGTCCAATTTGGCTGTCCCGAGTTCCGTTGCTGCCCACAGAATCCGCAACCAAATTAGCGGAGAAGAAAATCGATGGAGGGTGCAGCAAATGCTGGTGTCCAATACAAAGGTAAACAGTACGAGATACCTTCTCCCTGGCTGCAGTCTGCTTCTCTCTCAGGTACTTCTCCCTGCAGCGATCGCACACTAGATACCAGGTGCTGCCTCCAATGCCTCCATCGCCACAGTTGCCAGCCCAGCCACCGCAGAAGTGACCGATGCTGTTGTATCCTTGTCCCCCAGCATAGCGGCCACAACCTGAAGAACGGATGAGATGGTTATTCCTTGCAGGGATGAGTCACTTTCCCTGCCAACGCTATGATTACAGATTCTCTCCTTACCTGGGTGAGCCTGTCTCATGTGGTAGGTGACGGGGTAAGGATGAGATTCCCCACACAGCTCACAGATGGTGTCCTTCTCCGGTCCGCCCATTGCCAGCTGCGCCATCTCTCCAAATAGATTGCCCCTCGGCCGCACGTCAGCTTTTTCCCGCTTCTTCTTCTCCTTCTTGGCCTTTTTGCTGTCCTTTTCGTTCTCCTTCTTCTTGAGGATGGCGCTCGACCCCGGACTGGGGAAGATCATGTTCTGAGTCGCGGCCTTGATGGTGGCCAAGGATATATCCTCCCAGAATGCGACCAAGTGCTGCAGCGTCAAAGGCAGGATGGATTTTGCTCTCATGGAGGGATGGGACGATATCTCAAAGGAAACGGCGTCCCCTTTGCCGTCCTCGCACTTTTCTGGCAATGGTGGTTCCTTCAACATGGAGAGAACCTTGTTTTTGTTGATGCTGCCCATTTTGGAGATGTCCGGACCATGCGGAGCAATGTTAAACATGTTAAGTGCGGAAGAAATCTCAAGGGAGTGGCGGTTCTTCAGCTTGCTTTCCTTCTCCTCGGCGCCCTGGCCTCCGAGGGAGCTGCGTATGGGCGCGTGCTCTTTGGTTAAATCCGGGTTGAATTTGAGGAAGGATGAACAGGCCATGGCGTCGTGGACAATACCTTCATGCCACAGGAACGCTGCAAAGACCGCCCGGGAGCATTCCGCCACAGATGGGGACATGGCCTGCTTGGCAGGCTCGCATATCCTCTGCGTGCTCTCACCTTTAAAGAGCGGTCCGGATTTGTCCTTCTTTGGCCGGGCGTGCCGACTGGAGGTTTTGCGGCTGACTTTGGGCGAAGAGCGACTCTCCAGCTCCTCCTTGACTGGTGCCTTGCCGATGCTAAAGTGCACCTTGCACGAGGCCTCCTCAGAGTCCTGCACCTCCACATTTTCATCATTTGCATCCTCGTTTGAAAGTAGAGTGCTTGAGGAACACACCTCCACAACCTCGCTGTGCAGGTTTTCTTGGGTCACATGGGGGGAAGGAACACGGTTCTCTGTGTTACCGACAACGTCTTGGTTTGGATCTTTGGGAGACAGTTTTGGTTTAGGGGAGGTAGATCTGCCTCTTAAGGGCTCTGTCAGAGGAATCTTCTTCTTCCTAAGGGTGTCTGGGTCCAGAGTGTAAGAATCGGACTTGGATCTCTCTCGGGGAGGTTCGAGCCGGGCTTTGGATGACGGGCTAACTTTCGGGATGTTCTTGTCGTGGTGTGTTGAAGAGGAATGCTGGGAGGAGGTGCTGGAAGGACTGGACCTGCCAGAAGAGGACACTCCTTTTTGTTTAGGCGAGGAGGAGCGGGAGCCGGCATTGGGAGACTCAGACCTATGTCCTGACGTTCTGATGTCGGACTTGAGGGCCTGCAGAGTGTTGTGATTCGGCGAATGAGAACGGCTGTGAGAGTCAGAGCGCAGTTTGGCCGTATCGGAGCGCAGTATGAGGGCGTCGCTGGCTGAGAGCGAGCCGTCCTGACCCGTCTTGACTCTGCCATGTTCCGACATGCGACTCCCTCGACTTTCTTGCTTGAGAGAACGGTTCTCCAGGCGGTGTTTGGAGGCCGGGGACATGGACCGTGCACCGGGCATCAGGTTCCCTCGCTCACCTAAATGTCAATAATTCAGTTAGATGAAAACAGACAACTACAGAGAAACCGTCCTACACATTTAAAGGGGATATATGATGCTCATTCTCAGATTCATTTTGAATGGATGTGATTTTCTCTGCATATTTTACAAGCTTTAAATGACAAATCAATTTTCTGCTGCCTATTTTGATAGCAATTACATCTAATCATGTGCGCTGTGGAAAGAAAGAGCCCGTTGTGAATACTAAGCAGTGTATGTGAAGTCAGTCAAAGTATGACGTTTCCAGATCAAAGACAATAACGTTACTGGAAGTCAACAGCCTCTTAAACAAAGAGATTTAAGAACAAAAAAAAAAATGTTGGATATTCCTTTGCTGTTCACACAAAACCGAGCGAAGGTTTGCGGTATTGCCACAACTGTGGGCTTTCACACACTGACACAGTGTCCCGCAATTGGATAATTCGATGACATCAGACAAAGTGTCCAATGCGAGGAGTAGAATACTTATCAGAAATTGAACATTTGGAGAGAGAAGTAGGCTAAGTGTCTGGTAACTTCACACTCGCCTGTAAAATGCGAAAAGTTGACCTGTGGCCTTGGTTTGAACAGAACAGTGACACAGAAAACAACGCCAGCTTTGACAAGCAGTTGAAAATGCGCTACTGTTTCTAGCTTGTCTTTTTTTGAAGCATGATGACTCCACTGTGTGACTCTGGAATATGAGCATTGTAAGACGATATGACTGAGAATTATGGTGAACATGATAAATCCCCTTCAATTCATTTAGCTACAACAAAACACGCCGACATCTGACAAAAAAAAAAAAGATGCTTTAAACCGATATGAAAGGTCAAAACAAAGGTGAATGAGCACATGAGTATGTATTGAGTGTAACATTTAGTCAAGACCTCGTTTTTTAAGGGTGACGGGTGGCGAGAACCGATCAGAAAATGTTAATGACAAGCTTATAAAATACAAGCACAGAAAACTCGCTTTATACCCAACCTCTGTTCAGTCTGAGGGAGGGCATGCGTGATTTGACTACCCACCCTTTTGCCTCAGAGCAAGAGATGAGAGAGCAGTGGCATGCCCGGCCGCGGCCACGCCGCTTTTGCGTGCACGCTCGCGAGAAGCAAGGCTGCGTGGTGAATCATCTACAGCGGAAAACAATTGGCAAGGTAAACAAACAAGGCATGAAATGCAAGGACACCAACAGAGCCAGAAAACAAGAGAGGGAGAGACAGCTCGAGAAAGCACATAAGAGGAAATGGGTTCAATTAAAGATTGTGAAATTGAAAGAGGCAATGCATTAAAGTGTTCTTAGGAGAAGCTGACAGAGAAATTAGTTGTGGCAGGAGAAGCATGACACAAAAAAAAAATGTCGGACAAGAAGAGAGCTGCTAATTTGGGTTAGGTCCAATGCCCATTTCACACTGACAGCTCTATAATTGTATTAAAACCTGAAGAAGAAAAAAAAAATCGGCTTAAGGAGGTCATCGGAGACAATGAAGTATTTTTGTGAGCAAGGGCGCAGACAATTCATGGCTGGTTGAGGCGGCTAATGAGAAGACCCAAAGAATGGAAATGAAGGAGAAGGAAAACTGATACAAATGTGGAAAAAAAGTCTCAACAATCAGAGCAAGCTAGAATAAGGTCACTCAGCCTCTTAAGTTAGCGCATGCCCGTGACAATTAAATTTAACAAGACATTTAGTCTACAATTGAGATTCAAATTCTTGTTTTAAAAAGGTGACGTCCATATTTCCTCACATTCACTCAACTGCAGAGAGTATTATTAGGTGTAAGATATACAAACTACAAACTGAGAGGCCTTCATTTGTACAACTGCATTTTATAATACACAATATCTTAAAGTTATTAATATATGTCCGCCATATTTATTGAGGCAAATACATATGACTATTAGTTTTAGTAAAGGTAACTACTACGACCTGTTTTTTTTCAGGGCCTTACAAAACATTCTGGGCGAATGAGGACAACAAGGGATATTTTATATATATATATATATATATATATATATATATACACACACACACACACACACACACACACACACACACACACACTTCCGCACAACTATTTTGATCAGGAGCTGACTAATCACTTGACACACTTACTCAGAAGCTGTGGTTGCGGCTGAGACAGTTGGGAGGGGGACTGTCCAAACACAAACGGACTGTGGACAAGGGAGGAGGAGGAGGAGGAGGAAGAAGAAGAAGAGGAGGAGGAGGAAGAGGAAGAGGAGGAGGAAGAGGAGGGGGGAGGTTGTGTGGCTTCCTCAAATATTGAGGAGGGAGTTGCTGAGACGAAGGGCCCAGACTGAATGGAATTCAGTATGGCGCTCAGCCGGTCACCTGCAAACACGGAGACAAAGGAGGTGGAGAAACTACAGCTTCGACTAAAGGGGACGACTGGGACAGGAAGGGACACCACAATTGGGGTTCAGCGTAGTTCAGTCTTCATTTTAAGTGTGATGTATGTATGGAGTGGTGTGGCCCAGCAAAACTACTGCAGGCTGACTGAAGAAAAACACACAGACACGATGCTTGGCGTTGCAGAGGTGGTGGGCATAGCTTACCTACAGAACAGTGAAACATGCATAAACAGATGAAAAAGCGACCGTCGAAAAATTGATTGGTGACATTTGAATGGAACTTGTGAAAATGCAAAATGAAAAAACGGGCTAACTCAAAAAATCTAGGGGAAAACAACTTCACGTGGATCTCTATTAAAAGGATTGTCGATGCAAAAAGCGGACAATTACATTTCATGACGACCAAGTGAGTTAATTGAGGTTTGAGGCGAGACTTGATTCGGTACACCTGCACCGTCTACTGAGATGCAATACAGGAGCTGCAATGGTTTTAGACAGCCATATTGTATACTGTTGGACATCCTCAATTTTTTTAAGAAACCAGAGTACATACTGTAAACATCACCTATGGCAACACCTGGAGTGAACATTGCTGCAATTGTCATAGCGATCAAACTGAAGACAGAGAAGTCACTTTTTTTTTTTTTAAGTTATATGAATACATCTCCGTTAGCATCATTCAAAACTCAGCACTAACATCTTTGGAAAAGAAGAGGTACTATCGGTGCAGGTGTACCTAAACTTTGAGGCGGGTGAGTGCTGTCGGAATATTAGCCATGGTAGAAGTCAAAATGTGTTACATCATGTGGGTGATGAAGCATAAGGGGTTGTTTGCGTTGCCAACTATTCCATCCTGAAGCTGACCTTTGTTGTTGGAGATTCCATAGTCAAAGCCCTGTGCTCCATTGGATGCTGCAGCCCTGTTGAAGGCCTGCACCGAGAAAGGGCTTGGCGGCGGGGTTTGGGCGCCATGCTCAAGCAGCGCTTGTTCTGCAAGAGCATATCCAGGAAGTGATTGCATTTGCTGTACAGTGATGATGATGATGATGATGGAGGGTGTGGCTTACCTTCATCATGGCGAAGGTACTGGTTTCCTCCGCGGTCTCTGGCCAGCGACCAGGCTTCTCCCTCGTCACTCTCGCAGAACTCCACGACGCTGTTTTTATCCAGCTGCACCCATGTGCCCTCTGAGTTGACCACCTGGTACACACATAACACTCTTCATCCAAACTCTCTCGCCAACACACCTTGTCTTAATTCTTATTTATTCAAATCCAAACATAGTCCGCATGAGAGTGGATGTAGCCTTTGGCACTGGTAGCAACAAGGTAAAAAGTGTATTCGGTTTAGTATGGTAGCGGCATTTCAAATGAAATGAAATAGTGGTGGTCCACAGAACATTTTCTAAAGGGAACATTTGTTTTGAAATAAAAAGAGATTGTTTTCGACTGAGAGGTTTCACTATATTTGGTATGTGGAGATGAATTGCATCCCCTTTTTCAAATACTGTATGGTTAAAATACCAACCCCAGTCACGGTAGGTACATCCACATTTTATACAGTCTATGCACACTTCATAATTTTTTTTTTTTTTTTTATCAATCCCAGTTTAACCACTGCACGAACTATGACACAAATCGGAGTAGAGCAGATCTTCAACATGCAACATGGAATGAATCAATTTAAATACACAATGCACAATATTGGAACACAAGGATTTGATCATTTTGTTGCTGTCAGCACGCCACACGATGGAACAAAACCAATGTGGCTCGAGCAAAACTTACTCGTGGAGAGGTTGCTTATTCAAAGTTAAATGCACTCAACTCCCTGAAACACTATATTATTTAGAGGAGGGGGGAAAACAGAACACAGATGGGAAGTATTAGTGAGTGCAAGCTGCACCTCCCGGGTCTGGACGGGCCATTCTAGTGCAGGTTAGTGAACAGCATGACACACCACAGCAGCCAAAACCAAAAAAGAGAAGGGGAGGATGACACTCCGTTGAGTCAGAGTGAAAGTTTCAAATGTTGACGTGCAAGAGATTTCTGCCGTAGCTCAATATGCTAACCTGAACAAAGTGGAAATTAGTAAGAAATCACACAGGCACAGTGCGAAAGATGAAGAGCACGTACCCACAAGACACCCGGGTGAGAGCGATTGTTCAGCATTAGTTTCAGGAGATTTGTTTGTGTGGGAATTCGCTTTATTTGATCAATGCAGTTCATTAGGAAACAGAAATCCCATCACCCCTACCCATCATTAAGACATTGCATTTGGGGTGGGTGCATACCTCGCCTATGGCCTTGACCATGTTGCCAAGTACTAACATTCCAATGGGGATACCCCTAAGGTTTGGGCAGCTTCTGATGTTGTGACCAGAGGGGCCGGTCTTCACTACCTTATAAAGCCCCGGTCCGCCGCCCTGCCCTGCCCCGCCCTGCACCCGAGCGGGAGCTTCGTGGGAAGGGCAGCTGCTCACCTCCTTTGTGGTGTCCTCCGTCTGGCCCCTGACCTCCTGCAAGAGTTAAGAGCGGGAATTAGGATGAGTGGGAAAGCACACCAAGTATGACTTCAAACCATACCGAATTCAATCCCTCGTCAAAGTAGAAGAATTGATGAAATAAACTCATTTGAGGCCATATCCTCTATGCTCACCGACTGCCGAATGGCTCTAAATACGTCCCTACTACATCTAAAAGACGGCTCAACAGCAACATTATTTCATATTAAGTGGTGAGAAAAAGGATCCACATCCTGAAGAGACTTGAAGTTGAAGTGCCAATCACAAACAGTTATTGTAATGACGGGCCAAGAGTTTTACAAAATGTTTTGCATTTGATGCGCCATGTGTGCATGGTGGGTGTGTCAGAAGTCTCGACAGGAGAATCGCTGCATCTTGAAAGTGCACAAGAAAGGCCCGTAAGGAATTGACTTGTCAGCGCGAATGGGAGAATCTGTCCCTCAAAGAGCAAGTGATGCTGCTTGAGAGTTATTTCATGCCATGAGCGACGGGCCCTATTCAATGTAGGATATCCATCCATTTTCTGTACTGCTTATCCTCCTTGGGTGGTGTGTGAGCTGGAGACAATCCTAGCTGACTTTGACAATTTCACTGACATGAAATGTAACTGTTGTATTTATTTCATACTTGCATCTTCGAATCTGCTCCTACTCACAAGGGTCGTGGTGGGCTAATTGAATTTTATTTTGAAATTCTCATTTTAATTAGCTGAAATGTTAAAAAAAAAAACAACATCGTAATTATTAGAAAAACGCATTGCTAGTCTGCATTTAAGTAAATAACAGCCATTAATTGAGGAAATACAATTTTCCAAAAGTTTACAGTGCACGTACTTGCAATTTTTTATCATAAACAATTTGGACAAAAGTATTGGGACACCTGGTGGGGGCTGCAACCAGTATCGGAGCAGTTGTCTTATACTCAACAGGATTGCTGTGTAAGGACGAACATGATGTCTGCTACGGGACAGTGGCCTCCTCGATTCTTTTCAGTATGAGACTGACATCAAAACAGGAGTTCAGAACATTCAGACAAATTCTCCCATTTTATTGCTATTAAAATCAACAAATTACTCATATTTTCCCATGAATGGGAAATGTAATCAAAAGTCCATGTTACCACATGCGCCGAGATTCAGAGGCAACTATCGCGCCTACTTAATTCATTAAGCGTGTCTCAATAATTTTGTCCGGTTGCGATTCCACAATAAGTGCACAGGAATTAGGCTATTCTTTCTCAAACTTGCACAGATTCAACTTGAAGGACTGACACATGATTGCTGCATGTCATTTTCATAAATACCGACAGGGGGCATGCTAGGACACAAACACGACTTGCTGTCAAACATGCATTCAACAGGTATCCAAGCCTCCTTCACATTCCATGCTATTAAAAAGAACACAAATCACTCCAGGACGCTCTGGACATTATGATCACCTTGGGCTGACAAAAAGATACAAAAGAAAACCGACATCCATGCAACTTTGACTCCACATCCGTTTGACACAAGTACAGAGACAGTGTGAGTAATAAATGAGATGCAATAGGTGGTGTGGGGGGGGGAGCAGGCAAGCTATTCAACCCTCTCTTTAATACCACTCACCTGTGGTGGGAATATAGTTAAAGGAGTCCACGACAAAAAGCCGATATCCCTGACTCCATGGCTAGCGTTAAAGACACTCTGAGCAACAAATCGTGAGACAGTCAAGACACATGGCAGAGAAAGGAGAGAAAATCAGGATGGGGCGCTGAAATCTTTTTTTTGGAAGAACGGTTTTCTCGCCGGTTTGGCTCATTCAGAGAATGCATAGAGACAGTAGAATTTGAAAAAGAAAGAATGGAAAGCACTTCCAAAAAAATTCCCCCACTTGGATGATACGGTGTGTCATGTTGTTCAGACAGAGAGACCTTGCACTGAAAGCATTGGGCGTCTCGAAATGCGACCCGATACAACGGTGGAACTGTGGAGGTGCAACTATCCCACTACTAAGCTTCATGACCATAAGGATCTCATTTTTCCTCTCCCATGCTACTCAAACAACTGAGGAGCAACACATTTATAGTGATGCTGGACATGGCATGGAGCAGCAAAAAAAGCAAGGAAAATAAAGAAATGGAAGAACCTTCATTGCGGCATGCCGTAATGCATTAGTGTTAATGGACTGTAAGGGAATGAAGAAAGAGCCCACTCAGCTCATTTACCACAGGATTAAAGTTGCATTTATTCTCCGTGTTAGTCAATGCACTTAAAAGTGTGCTATGGGAGTGCAGGAGCACTTATACAAGAGCTGCTTCCATTTCAACACATATTTCCTCAAATAGTGATCACCGCCGACCATGCTAACAGCCCAATTAATCATCAGGTGAATTACTCACTTCGAGAAAACACCAATTGTCAAATAGATTCCTCACCTTTTTTTTTAACTGGAATATTGATGATTACACCTTACAGCTGACAACATGGCAAAATGTACCATCTCTATTTAGTATATCACATAAGAGATCATCAAAATGATTGTAAATTTGTATCTTTTCATTTATTATTATTATTTAAAACATTTAAGACAGAAAGTAGCTTGCAAGTGGTCTGGCAAAGCCATTTTCTTGTGTTTAAAAAAATAATTATAAGTCACGTTTTGAATTTAACTCCGAAAATACTTTTTCTGCATTCTTCTAATTTGCACCTGTTTTTGTATAATACAAAACTAAATCAAATGGCATCACCCTAACTAAATACCTTACCCCAAAGGCGAGTAGACTGCTGGCACACACTCTCGACAGCAGAACTGAGCGTTATTCAAATTATTTGTTGTAATATTTTACTGATGCACGATTCATTTTCAGAAAAATTTTATATTTTAACAGCTTTCACATTTCATAAAAATGCATTGTGAAAAAAAAAAAAAAACCTCTGTCCTAATAAACGCCTAAACCCTTAATAGGCAATAGGCACTCCGGACAATTGAGTGACTGAGTCACATATTTACTATATTCTAGTAGTTTAGGTTATCACTATTTGTGGAAAAAATGCACAAAAAATAACATCCTGTGTCACTAAATAAGGAAATACGGTCAATTTTGGTAAAACTTTAACCATCTTTAAGCATCTCTTGGCTACATGCACACTTTTCCTTTGCTGTGCATTAGAAGAAATTCTTATTGAAAAGCTATTACATGCAAGAGCGCTCCCCTATCTTTGGCCCAATTAAACATGCGTAGTGTACATTTGGGGAGGGAGCGCCAAAACGTGAACCTCAAACAGCATTTTAGACACATCACAAAAACGACACCTCAGAAAAACGAGCATCCTCTGACCGGCTCCTTCTTACTTACATCGGCGGGGACCAGAAGGCTCCTGCCCAGATGCTGGTTAAAAGAGAGGCACCAGGCCTCAGTGTACCCATTCATGCTGGGCACGTACTTCTTTACGGTTTCGTCATTGAGCTTGAGCCACACGCCATCATCATTGTGGATCTAAGAGTAAGGGTGAGGGGTGGGGGGCACAGGGGAAACAAGCAACAGAAGAGAGCACAGCCACGTCGTCCTGTTACTATGGAAACAGCAGGTGCACGAAAAACACACCCAAAAAATTCTGAGGCTGCAAGAATGTCTCAAAAATGGAGGGCTAGTCATCATTTCCGGATTAGTCTACATTGCATTCATAACCTTTACCGGTGAACATAATTTGACCTTCTTTTGAGTGCACACCCAACATGTTCAACTGCTGAATTTTTTTTTTTTAGATACTTTATGCACAGTTCCCGTTCTCTGACAAAGAGTTGAAAGACTAAATTTGCATAAATATTTGATCCACAAGGCTACCAATAAAATTTCTGGTTCAATTCAGTCATCGTAATGACGCTCACATTTTAACGCCTAACAATTTATCAACAGCGCCTCGTCAGTGTGAGGCTTCAAACAGGATGTTCTCAGGGGGAAGCGGCCACTGAGCTTTGAGTGTCACAAGGGATCATCAGCAGCTGCCAACTGGAATACAGAAAAGCTGTTTTCTACGCCTTCCTATGGCAACAGAAAGGGATGGAAGAGGATGTCATTGTGACTTTTTATTTGTCAAATACCTGTTGTAAATTTTGATATTTAGCTAATTGTCAAAGCACAGTACGTTATGCAGTTGGAAAGTTTAAAAAAGGTCAAATTAAGTTTGCCCAGTAAAGGTTTCGGTGCATTTTAGGACCATCCTGACATTTTGCCCGAGAGCAAAATACTTTTGTGAGTAATGTATTCACTGTGCATTGTATAATCATCAAAACATTTATTGTTTTCGATAATGTAGCGTGCGTGCTGTGATTTATTTTTATGCTTTCAAGCAGCCTCAGGACGCTTTGTAAGTGGAAATATTTCAAAGAAAAGTGGAAATATTTTGGGCAAGAGATAATCACCACAACATTTAGAAGCAAAAGAGGATTCACAATGTCTAATTGGAGAAGTTCTATGATGCTTCGAGGAGGAGTAACAGGAGTAGTAACAGCAAATACAGAATTTCACAAAAATTGGTCTGACTTCCAAATTGTATGACTTTTGATTTTGAGATACCGCTGCATTTGTATACATTGGTGCCTGTATCGGCTTACAATAAAAGCAATACAATTAATCATCATTTTAGGGCTCAATTACCTCGTCAATGAAAGTGATGGTGCCATTGACATGCACTATGCCTATTTGTTCACTCTGCAGGGAGGGGTGACTGCGCACGCGCAGGCCTGCGCTATCCTTGGACGTAAATTTGCGGACCTGAGAGAAGCAGAGGGGAGACTGTGTGTAAGCCACAGCAGCAAAAGAAGAAGACAACCCAGGAAAGAAGGACAGTCACTGAAGCAGAGCAAAAGGGAAAGAAAGCAAGGACGCACGCATGCACTGTAGAAGGACAAGCAGCAGCTGGATGAGGTCTGCTTCAGTCCTACTTTTGTTTAATTATCTCATTCTGACACAGAAAATAGAGGGCGCGCATTGTTGCTTGTTTCCCCATTTTCCAAAAGAAGAACCCTGTCATACAATGATTGCCGACAGGTCCAACTAGCTGGATGCATTCCTTCCACTTCCGAAAAAAAAAGTTGGCCTTAAAGCTTATCTTATGGCAACACAACCAAGACGTCAGTGCAGTTGAGATTCTGCCTTACGTTCGCACGGAGACATCGCGCTTGAGGTTATTATACATAAAGGATAATAAAATAAGCACGGGATTCTTTCTGAGCAAGGCAATTTCAAATAACAGCTAACCTTGCTTGGCTGAGGCTCCGCCTTGGGTTTGACCATCTGCGTCCCAGGCGGTATCATGCCTTTGGGAGGGTCTTTGACCTCCACCTCCAAACCCGCATCTGTCGAAGCCAGAATCTTTGTTTTAATTTAATTTAGGCAACACTGGCCTGGCTGTAGACGAGCACAAAATATCCCCAAAAGCAGCATTCAAGGACCGCCGGCTCCGATGCATTCCAACATTTCCCCGGTGGGGTGCCATTATGAAACCAAGCTGTGTTTTAATACGGCATGAGACATGATCACACACACCTATTTCAATTCCATCAATGGTGACGTGGATTGTGTAGAGACCGATTGCTCCCGGTGTCCAGTTGGCACTGTAGGTTCCGTCAGTGTTGGCACGTATCAGCATGTTCTCACTGGGCCTGAACAGAGAAATGTGGTGATGACTGTGGTCCCAGATACAGGAAACAGGATAGGAAAGGTTCTGGCTGCTCTGTTCGATGAGGAATATAATCAAATTAACATTAATGACATCATACAGATTAATTTGACCAGGCTGGACTAAATTAAACAAACCATCGATGTAGTCATTCCAGCCAAAGCTCTACAACACGACCTTCCCCATTACATCTGCTGACATTATTTCTAATGGGAACAGCGGTTTTAAAATGAGAATAACTTCGAAGTTACCGCTGTACTGTACAACTCTCATGATGTCATATACCTCTTTGGAGTGGGGGAAGCAAACCGCAGCTCCTCAAAAGAGTAGGTTTCATATGCCTAGAAATATAGATGAGAATGTAAAATAAGTTATCACATTCGGTGAGCGAGAGGAAACATCCAATCCATGCGTAGGGCTGACCTTCATCATGGTGATGGCGATGTAGCGAGCTTCTTTCACAATCATAGGCTCGTACGTGGCCTCCAGCTTGGGCGCTGGCAGACCTCCAAAGGTGAGGTCGGGACCTGAAGACGCTGGCGAGGAGGGGCTTCCGGTGAGTCGCTGGAGTTTTTTCACATTTTCGGGCTGCAGCGACTTCTTTTGAGAAACGGGAACGGCCTTTACTTCCACCTGGTTTTGAAAGAGATGAGGAATTTTAGTCAAATGCAAAATCTCTACCAGCTAAGTTTTCTCTCAATTTAAGTGAACCATTTTGCCAACCTTCATGTTCGGAACGTGAACCACATCTCCATATTGATCTTTGGTCTGGACAACAATAGTAGCTGGCCATCCGCAGCGTATGTCGTCTTTGTTTAGGATCAGAGATGTTTTCTGGGGGTCGGCGTAGGAATCTGGTTGCAGCCACCTTGACAGAAGAGATGACAAGTCGTAATCAAAACGCGGGCTTACTTCTTGTGAAATGCACAAGTCCGATGTCTCGCCGGCAGCTGGGCTGGGTTCTATTCTCGTTTTTGCACTTCAAAATCCAAACCGCCACACATTGACCACATCGATCAGAATGGGAAATGATAAAAAGTAACAACAGAGGGTCTCCTGCATACTTCTTAGGATATAAATAAAGACGTACTTCATAAAAGAGGCAAGTAAGAACAGAAAAGAATACAGACCATTGCAGTTAAACTAAAGCTAAGCTCACATTAGCATGTTTATTTTGGTCACTTGTATTTGTGTATCGTCAAAGTATACAATGACCAATCTGCTCAACCGATGAGCAACCAAAAGTGGTTTATGTCACCCATTTGGCAGCTGCTCAGCACGCGTGGAACCCCGGCTGACCAGGTAAAAATAGTGGCTGTTATTGCCAGTAGAAAAGTTTGAGTAGCAAGCAAAGGGGGAAAATAGAGACAAAAGGCAATAACATTGATTTATACCTCGCGAGGCGTCCTCCGCTTGAGTTCTGCACACATGTGATGAAGTCCTCAAGGAAGGAGTGCTCGTTGGTTTGGAGGTGCAAGGGTAGGTTCCCCTCCAGGGCCTCGAGGATGATTGGGGGGTGGGAAAGAGCCAGACCCTTGCTCAGGATCCCTGCATGGGCTTTACACACCTAAATGGGGGGAGTGAAGGTGGGAGGGCACAAGGGATCAATAAAGGCTACATGAAAATAGGACAAAAATTTAAAATTTTATTATTTTACCTGGAGAGAGGCCTCCTCTAGGATCTCGAGGTCCTCCTCTAGTTCATTGCCTAAATAGCAAGAGTGGCATTTTTAGGAAGATCACAACAACATGGGAGTGCAAAACAGAACAAATCAGTTTTTGAAGTTAGACATTACAAAAATGATGCAATTAAAGTGAAACTTGTCTTACCGTATGGTACCATTTCCAAATTGGTATTGGTAAGAATACCTTAATTTAGTGCAACTTCTGCATCTCTGTTGCAATTTAATGTTACATTTTGTGGTCACACAATGTGTTCTAGACGCCTGTTACGACAATTATTGTTGTAGTTTTTACAATTTACATAGTGTGAGAATTGGGATAATTGGGCTGGAACACAGCATATGGAAGAAGGCAGCCGCAAACCATATCAGGAGGAATGAAAGTGAGAACTGATTATTTTAATCCATAAACTTTTTCATATGAAATGTTTGATTTTGTTAAAAGTACAGAAGTTCAGCAGAAAGTAAGCCTATTAAGATCACATGCAGCGTGTTGAGGTTTTTTTGGGTCATTTTGGGTTTATTACTTAAAGGCCTTCGATGCATGTATACGGGTTTTAAATACTTTTTGCATTTGGTTTAGGTGAAAATCAGATGCATTAATTATGAACTCCTATTCAAATGACAGTAACTAACAAAATATAATATATTACAGTGAGTCATAACTTGCCAAAGACTACCCCCCTCCTCCATACTGTACCTATCGGGAGTGCCAGGTCTTTCTTCATCAGAGCTGCAGCACACATACTACCCAAGTACGCCAACTCTTTCTCCAGCTGAATGATGCCCTGAAATGTCCAGCGAGATACTGTGACGTTCCGCTTTTATTTTGAGGTAATAAAGATTACTCGGCAGGAAAATGAAGACTCAGACATTACCTCATCAGGACCTGGGTTGAATTCATATCCCACCGCAACACACTTAAAGCCATAGAAGGACGCCTTCTCATCCTTCACATAATCCGAGGCAGTTTCCAGGGAAAACAGGACCTCATTTCCTATAGAAGCAGTCGAATGTAATATTAGAAAAGCAAAAACCACTGAAGAGGTGGAAGGATGCAATCTTTATACCCGGCAGCACGAGAACTGCGGTCGGCCAGCCCGTTGAGCCCGAGAATTTCCTGAGCTCGGTCCAGGTGTTGATGGTGTCATGGACCAGAGGTTTGCCGCCCAAGCAGGACAGATGAAGAGTGCGGCTGGGGATGAGCAGTCTGAGGACGTCCTCTGGCTGAGCGGTGCCACACTGCGGGTCGAACTCGATGCTTGTCCAACGCACACATTCGGGAAACGAAACCTGAGGGTAGGTAAGATACCACGGAGGTTTAAACATGGAAGAGACTTGATGCAAAAGCTGGCGTAAATGCTGCATTTAAGACGACCGGGAATTTAGAAATATGGCAACATCAAATCCATCCAGTTAGATATAGATCCTCAAACTGCTGACAGTTCAAACACAAAACAAATCAAATTCGGAAAACTTTTACATATATATAGATCTATATTTTTAACCAATAAATAGAGATTCATATCGTTCATATTGTCTTGAAGTGCATTTTTGTGGGCTCAGTCATTTTGGTTTGACATTAGACTACATCAACTTGGCCTAAGTCGGAACTCCAAGTCAGATTTTAGAGATTGCCCAATTTTATGGAATGCAACAAAAACCATTCATTGGCTTGCACTTGAAGAATATTGTACCTTATATTGTGTGACCCCGGCCTGTTTATAGGGGTGGTCACTTTCAATCACGGAGTAGTGATTGGAGGTTGTGCAAGCCGACAGTCCTTGCTCCAGCTGGTTGCCGGTTGTGCTGTCTGTCGATTGGTTGGGGTTAAACGTGGGTGGGGCATACTTTTGGTTTAAGGCCGAGACGGCAGGAAGGAGCTCTTGGACCAGTCCAAAGACCTCGACGGCAGCCTGGGTGAGGAATGAGAAGCAATTTCAATCCCATCCAAAAGAAGGGGGGACGATGGCTTGATAGATAAGGTGCTTGGAAGGGTACCTTTGGAACAGATGCTGCCACAGGGCCGATGTAGGCCAGGATAAGGGGAAGCAGCATGGAAAAGAGGCTGGAGGAGCTTAACAGCTCAGGGATGTCATCCACTAAAGAGAAAATGCATATTGATAAAGCTGAGAGCAGACTGAGCAAATTCGATTCAGGAGGGAAAAAAAAAATCTATTCTTGTGCCTCGAAGTTGTGTTTGCAAATGAGGTGTCCGATTACCCGGCTTACCATCAACAGCAAAAGCCCTATGAAGCAAGTCCTTGGCCGCTCTGACCACAGCACTGACCACAGACAGTGACCGGCTGCAATTTTTGTCCTCTTCGTTGGCTTTGCTCAGCAGTTGGGATTGGAGATCGCCATCGTACTCGCTCCTTAATGAAGTCAGGAGACAAATGTCAAGGGAGGGGGAAAAAAAAAAAACACAGTCGAAAGGAGATGTCTTCTCAAAAAGATATTTTGGGTTAACCTGTAATAGAGAATCTGAGGGATCTGTCCTCGCGTCTGGTTGGTACCGTTGCTGCTCAAACTACAAGTGCTGAAGGTGAAGGACACACCATCTGAGCACTGAACCGTGGTCATGCCGCCATCCCCATTTGCAGTGCGGCTGCCGTAGTTGCGCAATCGCACAGCATACTTCACCCCTTCCTACATGAGAATACAACTCAGTTTCGCAGTGGAACGCTCCAAAAAGGTGAACAGCGCAAACCAAATTTCATGAGAGCTCAGCTCAGTGAACATCGACACCAAGGTGGTGCCCACGGGCACACAAGGACTGAATGAATAGTTTTATGTTCTAAAAATAGCTCACCAGTGATGAGACTTTTTTAGGAATGTTGATCATTTGAAAACGCAGTCACTGGCAAAACTTTGTAGAAATAAAGTGTCACATATTGATATATACCCATCATCCATTTTGCAAAGCATCATTCACATCCGTTTTTACCTTAGATTATCAGCATCGTACTTGCTTTTTTTTGTTTTTTAATTATGGTATCCATCCTTACAAATAATGTATTCACATACCTTGAGCGGCACTGCCTTGTCCAGGCGAATCTCCGCAATATCACTGGGAGAATCATCAGTGCTGTATGTTCCTTTAACCAGCTCAAGAGATGTCCACCGATGAGAGTGGGCAGAGTCCCCCGGGTGCTCGGTCTGTGCCTGTGTAAAACGCAGATGTGGAGGAAAAAAAAAATTGAAATGGTGCACAGTGAAACACAAATCCGTCTGAATACTCTTTCTTACATCGTCAGCGAGCACCTCCAGCTCATACTCGTGGATGCCGCCACCTCCGTACACGCAGACGCCCACCAAGACAACGCCCGGCTTGTCAACGGTCATGCAGATGGCATCCGGGGAACCATTGCCAGTGTTCCAGCTACGGCCCTGGCTCGTCTTGGTGAAACGGTTGGGAGAGGCCTTCACAGAGTGGAGCGAGTTCAGTCCATCAACCTAATAAGGAAGAGACAAAAAAAAAAAAAAAAAAAAAAAAAAAAGAATGAACTCTAAATCTATGTTTTAGTATTTCTTTTGTTTTTTTTGTCTTTTTGGTATGCCACTGCAGAAGGGGTTCCATTGATGGCAGAAAAAAAAAACATAAATCAACAACATTGACGAAAGAACCAAATGCACAACTGTGTTAAAGTGCAAGTCAACTCAAAATTGTTCTCTACAATAGTCTATTACACAGGGCCCCACTAGTCTAAACACGGGGTTCTGATTAATAAAGCATTTGTGGAATACGAATTAAGCAGCAAAATCCACCCGTTCCTATCAATCTCAATTAATTTTAAAATGACCGTCAGAGGGCTGCTTATTGTTGCAAACAATGCACTTTCCTAAAGGACACCGCATGTCACCATAATAAGAAGGGACAAACTGCTGATGCTATGAGCTGCTGTTGAGTGGCCGTTACTACGGCGACAGCTGAGTCCTAACTTTGTCTCACGCTGGTCATGATTCAGCACACCATACAAACAGGACACAAGACCCACTTCAGCTCCCAGCAATTTCCCTCAACCACCAAAAGAGCTTTGCCGCGTTGAAGTTCTAGCATTGTGAAAAGTGATCACATTCTTTACCTCAGATCCCAGGGCGGAGGCGGTGAGCTCAGAGACGATGGAGGCGAGCAGGCCACAGGTGTTGGATACCAAGTGGGGAGAGAAGAGCTCCACCTCTTTCCTCAGGCTCTTCCTCACCGGAAGCACCACGATCACCAGCATCTTTTCCAGGACCTCCCGGAAGCTTGTCATTCCCATCAGGTTCTCCTCAGTCTAAGGTTGATGACAAAGACAAGTCAATCCTTTCAACAATTTCCTAAATTGTAAAAATGGTTCACAAGGTGCACATGATGCGCACATGGCTCAGCTTCTCCATGTGGGCCACAAGTAGGGGGAAGCGGTGAGCAAGGGCTGAGTCGTTCTCCGTGCTGACTTGCTTGACGAGCGAGCGCAGGAGGACCTCGCCATCGTACGCGATGGGCAGAATGGACGTCAACTTGACCGAGGTGTTGCACAAAGCTGACATCACCGCCGCCAGCAGGCGGCTGCTGGATGTACGAAAGTTGGCATCGGCAATGTCCTGGAAACAACAACAAAATGGGAGAAGTGCTTTTTTAGTGCTTGTTATTGTCCTCAGGTGTTCATTAAAACACACTGCAGTAGTGTTATGGGTCTTATTAGGCGTCTGCGGTTCTTCAGATAATTTCTCATAAAACCTCTAGAGCATTTCCAAGAAGAATATGCCTCAAATGTCATTTTAAGATGCCATCAGAATATGAGAGCTCATTTCAGCCAGCATCAACAACAAAAAAAAAAAGAGTGACTGTGGTAAGTCAATTAGTCGAGAAGAAATTACCGTTAAGTAAGACACATTCAGTATATCCGATTCACAATATTGCATTTACCGTAGTTATATTTACACTTTTATTGGTTTTATAATTTGACTGTTTGAACTGTGGAGCAAAATACTCTAAAACATTATTGATCCTCATAAAATTGTGTTTTTGAAAGACAACCAGCTCGCTGAACGGCTTTGTTTGTCTTAAAACTGCAAAATGACGACTAACCTGATCCAGGCAATTGAGCAGGTCACAGAGGCAGGCCCACTGTAACGCCGGTGTCGGGTAGAAGGAGTGGAAGCAGGCGGTGAAGGTGTTGTGGCACTCCTGCAGCACGGCCTCCAGCAGGGTAAGGGGTTGGGACAGGTAACCCTGCGGGTCGTTGTCCAGCTTGGTCAAGCAGTTGTCCGTGCTCTCCGACAGGATTTTCTTCAGCAGGCTACGCGTCTTCCCCACGCACTCAGCCAGCTTGCTCGACTCCTCCACCACAGCTTTGGTGCTGGCTGAGAGCCGGATCACACAGTCAAAGTGACAACACTGTCTTGAATTCAAATCGCTTCAATTATTAGAATGGAGCAGTCCATGGGCCAATAAAGGGCCTGTGTGAGCATTTGATCGCAAAGCAAATTGAAACATCTCAGAGAACTTCTAAAAACATTTAAGCTCCAAGTGCCCTTACCAGCAATGGGGAAGATCTCGCAGATGTAGACCCGGAGCAGACGGAGGCAGCACGTACCCACAAAGCGCAACCTCTCCAGATCGAGCAAGGTGGCTGTGTACTGAAAGCCTTTCAGGCCTCGCAACTCCTCCACACCCAGAACCAAGGTGGTCCAGCTCCAGTGGAGGATGCTGAGCAGAGACTCAAAGCATTCCTACAGGGGGAAAAAAACATATGTAACCCCCCCAAGCTATGTAATGTTACACCCCCAATTTAATGTGATAGTAGTTACCACAGAGACTGTCCGAGCAAACGAGCGCTTCAGGATGTGAACTGGCTCACTGGTCTGCTGTTTGCCTTTCGATGCATTCCCATCATTTGAAGGCAGCCTAATGTGAAATAATATTGAAATATTAATACATTTAATTAAAGACATGTAAAAAGACGCATGCATCACGATTGACAGCCTGCTACTTGCCTGTAAAGTAGCTGAGGTATTTGACCCGCATTAACATCTGTACCATTGTTTGACTTCTTGGAGCTTTTAAACTGGAATACCACCCTATAGAGAAAGAAAAATTCATTTCAGTATGTCTTCCAAGGTATGTTACTGTGTACACATTGCATGGTACATAAACATGAAGTGCGTTGTACCCATCATCAGTGGTGATGGTAGCTTGCCCGTGCGATCCACAGTCACTGCTGGGACCAGACACCCGGGCCCAGGCTACGTACCACCAGCCCAACTGCAGCAACACTGGCTCGTCAAACATCATGGCATATTTCTCCCTGGAATTGATTTCAAAATAAAAACAATTTTAAATTCAAATAAGTTTACTAATCATGAACAAATGCCATAACTTGCTTGAAAGTTATTTGTCTGTATGTTTCGATTTCGTTCGTGTTCAGTTAAGTTCCGGCTCTCGCTCATCTTGGTGTCTGTGCGTGGCTGCGTGTGTGTGTGTGTGTGTGTGTGTGTGTGTGTGTGTGTGTGTGTGCGCACGCGCGCGTGCATGTGCGCGATGTGGCTCTTTGCAGTACCACAGTAAAAAAAAAAAAAAAAAAAAATTGGCTCTTAGTGTTCACACGTAAAAAGTTGCTACCTAAAGCGAAGCGTGTTTACCCCGGTGCAGCCCCACTTGCGTTCACACAGCAGTTTTGAAAATAGTTGTGGAATTTTTATGGTGACTGGCATGTTGCTGACAATGTGAAAAGCGTTTTTTTGAAAATAGTTTGTGGCATTTTTGTAGTGACTGGCATGTTGCCAACAATTTGAATTTTTTTTTTTTTTTGGGAAATAGTTTGTGGTTGTTTTGTGTACATAAAATAGCTTTTTTATTTTATTCTATTATTCTACACACAACCGTTTTTTTAATTCAAAACGTGTTTATGCTTCTATTATTCTTTTTCAGTGATATCTGGGTTGAATCTGTATGTATGATAAGATAGCCCCAAGTCTAAGCTTTCATTAGAGCCCAGGATCATGATTGTATGTTGAAGCATTCCAGAATAGCAGCCTTTTTGTTCACACAGGTCACCCAAATGGAACATTTGGGGTTCGCCTGTACCTTTCCTTAGGAGAACATGTAAGTTGCTCATTTTTTTTGTAGGATTATTGTCAAATTTGAACTGAAACTTGGGAATACCTCAAGCTTTCATCCTGTAGTGTTTTCAAGTCCTAATCAACATTCTAAATTCATTTTCAAGGCAGATTTTGTGAAAAGAAATTAGACGAACGTAAGATTCGCCTTTTTTTTTTTCAGTTTTCAAACATCCATAGTTCAGTGACAGGAGCACTTACCGTACACAAATTCTGACTGTTTGGGAGAAAAATTCAAAATGTTACCTTCAAAAAGAGACCAAAACTATGCTAATACTCCAAATGGTTCAAGAACAGCTACAAATTTCCTTTGGGTGCACCTTTTTTAGGCGTTTTTGGCAAAGTTGCCCTCAGCCTAAGGGGTTAATAAGTACTTTATTTTGAGTATACTTTATTCAACTTTTTTTTTTTTTTTGAGCATCAACAATTATCATTCTTCATGTTAAAATGTATATTACAATATATTTTATAACTATCTATGAGAGATGATGCATTTAGTGCAGGCACTTTAAAATGTACAAATGCATTTTCCAAATTTCTCTATGATGCTATGTCTCCTGTGCAGGAGGTGTGCATTGTACAGCACAGCTTTTTATTTGTTTCCTGCCAGGAAGAAAGTAGGCGTGCACTTAGGCAAGGCGTATAATTACTCAAGTGGATTAGGCCAGTAATATTTTAGATTAACTGTACCTCGCGGCACAGTCATAGGCCAGGACGTCAGTCTCTGCGAGCAGATCCCCATCTGTCTCATGGTCGCCTCCATCAGGCCCAAGTTCAAAAAGCTGTCAAAATATTATTAAAAGATTCAATTGTGAGTAAGATGCAAATAAATGAGATCTTAATTTGAAATAAGGGTCGCCTACCTTGATCTTAGCGGTATATTCTCCTCTTCCACCAAACAGGCCCAGCCCCCCGAGCAAGATGTCAGCGTCAGCACAAAAGCGAATGGCTTCAACAGAGTGAGCAGAGTAGCCCCAACCGCCACCGTGACCTACAACATAAATCACCAATCACCGCTCTGTGGGAACTGATTTATATTTCCAAGTACCGTATACACTTACTCTCAAAGCGGTTCACCACGCTGTAGTCTTCCTTGGAGTAGACCTTCATCACCGCCTGAGTCTCTTCCTCGGCGCTGGCCACACCCATCTTCAACTCCTGCATAGCCGCCAGGGTGTCCAGGCAACCTGTCAACAGCGGCATCCTTCCCTTAGCACAAAACCATCTAGCGTTCTGGTTAAGGCTAACAAAGGCGCAGAAATGAAGCTCTCGCATTACCAAGAATGTGTAGGGCGCCATGTGAGCGTGTTGTGGTGGCGAGCGACCCCGCGGGCAAGGCAAGCTCCGGGCTGAGGATGCTACAGCGGGCCTGTAGGTCTGTGGCGGAAGGCATCCTGGCATCTGCTATCACCGCATTATAGCACCACATCTCTTTTGAAGCTGGTAAGAACCTAATGGCACACAGATGAACACGAAGGGAAATGCAGATTAGTTAAAAACGTTTTTTGAAGGGGCACGGAGTGAAGATGTGAACTGGATATCTGCCATATGTTTGTTACTTGTGATCAAAAGGGAGACTGTTATGTGTGTTGTGTTTTAACAATTGACATTATTTTAGTGCAGGGGGTGGACAAAAGCTTGAGCTCAATGACCACATTCGATTTTTATAACAAGCAGATGGGTCAGGTCATTTGAAGAAAAAAAAAAAAAAGGTGAATATGTAAAATAGTTTATAGCGCAGTATTTTAAGAATAAATAATTAATTTCATTATACAGTTATGAACTGAGCATGTATAAATCTCATTAATATTTCTATTTCTATAATTTATTTTTATTCACACAAAACCAATTAACTGATCATTCCATAAGATAAATGAATTGGAAAAAAAGAATAAATGCATCCATTATGTTATAGCTTACCAATCATTTAACAAAATAAATGCAAAATGTTCAAGCATTTTTATTTAGAAATATTCTTAACATTTCATTATATTTTAATATTTTATTTTTTGCCATATTTTTCTCACCCTGTTATTTTGTGACAGCAATGTTCAAATTTTATTGAAAAAATTGTAACTGATAAATGTTTCATGGAAAGGTTATGTGAAAATGATAGCACATAAAGACCCTGGACTGACCTCCATATGACATCATACACAGGATCCAGGCAGAGTCCAAACCCTTGTAGGTCCTCCTGCTCAGAATCATTGAAGGTGCGGCAGCTTCCATCCATTTTGTTGATGAGCAAGCATTTGAATGGCGGCGGCTCGGACATGGAGGACGGCACGAGACCGATGATGTGTTTGCTGGCAAAGATCTCGGAAGTGGCCAGCACGTGGGAGTTGATGAGCGCCTCGTCGATGCGTAGGAATGTTTGATCTCCGCTGGCACCGATCCAGGTGGCCTTTCGTCCGTATTTGGCGCCGATGTTGGGCATGGGGGATGGCTTGGCATTCCAGTAGGGCATGTCGAGGATAGGTCGCCCAAGCTGCCCTTTCTGAAAAATCAATTTGTGTGTTTTGGACTTTCAATGTGACTCATGTAATTGGTTTCATTGTTTAAACTATTTTCTTACCGAGAAACTACCAAAAGTGAAGACCTGCCCGTCCACTAGAAGAACAACAGTGTGGTTGCTGCCTGCCGTCACTTGGACACTCGGACCCGGAAGAGCCTGGATCAACGTTGGCGATCCCCTACAAGGTAAAAAGATGAGTTGCAGTTTGTGAGGCCACTTTTTGTCAAGGATATACATTTGCAGAGCATCCAAGATTTTCAAAGGAATTTTAGATAGAACAGCACACAAGACCATTCAAAAATACACAAATAAATAAATAATAAAAAACAAAAAATCACGTGGCAGAATTTAGCATTGCACTTGCAGTTTTTAATTTTATTATTCACATTTATGCCCTAGGAGTGTTTTTCATACAAATATTTACAATAAGTAAGACATTTCAAGATTATGAGGATCCCGTATGTTTATAAAAACAACCAAAACAGTACCTGGAGTTTACGTCACCATGTCCAAGCTGGCCATGTTGTCCGTAACCAAATGTATAGACGTCTCCATTCTCCATCAACACCACTGCAAGACAAGACAACCATAAAAACGACAGGTGAAACGGCAAAACCAACTGTCATTGAATGCATCAGTCGTTATGAAACACGTTAATAATCAGAGGAGAATAAGGTCTGATTGTATTTACTTCTTGGCAAGTGGCTGTTGCTAAGAAAGTAAGAAAGAAAGAAAGAAAGAAAGAGAAAAAGAAAGAGATATAAAGGGAGAAAGTATTAACTTTCTACTTCTAGTCTTCTGAGCAAGTCACAGTGGCTCATGGGTGAGCTATTTTTAGAACAGACCCGTAGGCTAGTCATGTTAACAAGTACCTTCTGGCACCATGTTATTCCCCCCCCCCCTTTTTTTTATAGGACAATGCACATTTACGCAACAGCGCAAAAGGCCTCTGGCTGTCAGCGACGAGACGCCGCGAAGTGTTCACATTTGCAAACCTCGAGCGAAAAGGGCGATAAAAACAAAATTATCGCTTCAAACGCTTTATCCGCGCCATCATCCGCGCCACCCGGCAAGCATTCGCGCCTGACTGCGCAAACTCCATTGACTATATATGGAAATGCGCCCAAAACATTCAGCTTGCGTTCAGTCTAACCGCAGGATTAGATTTACCGGTATCATTATTTGATCCTATCCAAGGAATTTATAAAATTGTGGCATACCATACTGCAGCATCCAGAGCTGAGGTACAGCCACAGCAGCAGATCATCTTGGTTCATTTTACTATCCTAAACCAATGAATATAAATAATGGGAAATCTGCTCCACCAATAAGTAAACAGTACAGGCTCATCACAATCAGATTATCGATTTGCCATGATTGAAACCCCGAATGACCAAATATTTAAATTTAAAAGGTTTAGGATTAAGGTTACGAGAAGTCATTTACCCGAGTGGTGAAAACCGCAGCTGACCTGCACAGCCCGCATTTCACAGTCAAACCTGACTGCCCCGGGCGGGTAGGTGGTGATTTTACTGGCATCTTTCTCACCACGCTCACTGCTGCCATCTAAAGAGAAGAAGAAGACAAAAATAATATCACAAAAAGTGGTACTGTTTTGAGTGCAAGAGAGGGTGGCGAAAGCTGCTAAGATCCAACTTCCAGAAGTCTCATGTCTACAGTCCTGGGAAAAAATTTGCTGCAGGGAAAAGGAGAGAAGGAAACCACATGCTGAGAATGAAAGAGTGGGAAAAAAACCAGATGTTTGAAGCAAACAGTCCCAAAATAACGGGAAATAAAATAAAGGTCTTCTGCATGAGATACAACAGACTGTGTTTTTGTATTTTATTTTTATTACTACAGTGAGGAAATGTGATCTACTGATAGTCTTGTGTAAGAGGTCTGACTTGAGGTGTGGGAATCCAAAAAATCTGCGCCAACTCCCATAATCACATTGGACACAATGACTGACAACTGTCTGTGGTTTACAAAACAAACAAAAGATCAGAGGATACCGGATGGCAATGACGATCAAACAAAATATTGACTGGCTCACGGTCCAGTGACTTAGAAAGCAGAGCTGAAAGTCAAGCACAAAGAAAAGAGTGGTGCGCACGAGTGTGTCAGTGACGGGTGCCCAAAGCTGTTGCGGGTAAAAGGGAAAACACACACAGAAGACTATAATGAGGGATAGCTTCCTCTTCTTCAGGAGGGATGCTAAAAGAGTGGACAATTGTCAAATGCATGCACAGTGGACGATCAGAAATTTTGCTGTGTCAAACATCACAAATTTCCTGAGATATTTATTGAATTTTAATGTTGAGCGAGAGCTCAGAACCTGTGAAATGAAATCATTCATTTCCAGCTCAAAATGTGGCGTCATGCAACTTGCATTAACTGTACAGGTGACGTTTTAAAGGAACATTTTGACAAGATTATCTGTCATTCAAGTACGAATTCAAAAAGCCTCCAAGAACACAGCTAGTGGCCCAAATTCCAGGGTCCAGTGTAACTTTTTATTCAAAGGAAATGGTAATGGGATTTCCTTTTCCCTGGCATGAAGTCATAATAAAAAGCACGGTGTTGGCAAAAAGTTTATCATCAGCATTTGATCCAGCCCACCATGCAAATTAGAAAAAAAATAAATAAATCATTGCTGAGTGGAACTGCTATGAAAAAGCCAACAAGTGAGTGAGTGTGGCCATAAAACCTAAACCTAAAGACACTTGAATGACCCCGTCCGAGAGTGAGAGAGAAGTGGGCGGGACAGCCAAACGGGGAAAATAAGTCAAAAAAATTGGGGGGAGGGGCTCCGTGCCCATCGAGGTAGTGTAAGACCGTAGTACCTTTGTGCTTGTCCCGTTTATGCCTTAGCGCCTGAAGGGGTCTTATTCTGGCTAGGGCTTGCTCACGCTGGTTCATTAAAATGGTACCGGGGAAAACAATGGGGCCTAGGGGAGAAAGAAACTTTCACATGCATGCAACAACGCTCACAAATCAATGGGAAACAGCACAGGATAAATACCGCTACACCATGACCATGCACGCTCACAGAAAAAAAATAAGATAAATAAAAAAAAGCATGAGGGAAGGCACCCAAGCTAGCGCAGCACCTTAAAGATATTTGAAATGAAAGGGGATGAATGCATTGATTGGTACTCATGCCATCCACAACATTCCTAAAGTTCCCTGACTCTTTATGAGGAGACGAGAATTATTCTGAATTTGCCACAGGGCTGCCATATCTCCAGCCACGCACGGCAAGTGCAGCCAGACCTTGGAGTTTGGAAAGTAGTTGCAGTTAGATATGGGAAAACGGCAATCAGTTCAACTATTAGTAAATAGTTACATGTCGGGTATTTTGAAGTAAATGTTGAGTTGTGTTTGTGATGGAGCCGTGTGTCTGTACGTGTACCAGGAGTTCAGTGGTTGTGGTGGTGTCTAAGATAGTATTGGCCACACTGAAAAAAAGATTAGTGAGAAGGAAAAAAAAAAAAAAATCCAGAAAAAAGTCAGGATTACTTTATTCTTGTTAATTATAACTTTGCACCGTGCTTTTAACACTACAATTTGTAAAACACGTAAAATTCCCACTAATTTTTTTTCTCAAAATTTTAAAAATAATTCTACCCATAAAATATTGCGTTTTTGTCCTAATGCTTCAACATTCTCTTAAATTTACATGGGGTAATATTATCACTTAATTCTAGGAGAATTACTAATTTATTGCTTGTAATATTACCAAAATGTAAAATTGCACTTTAATCTTGCAAAAGACTCAGACTTTCGTCTCATTCTTTTTTCCTCTGATATTACCAATTGAGACTTTTTCTGTAAGATGATTTTATCCTGTGAATTTTGTGGGTTTCGCAATTTTATCTTTTGTTAAATTAAAAAAAAAAAAAAATCATAAAATAAAAAAAAAAAAAATCATAAAATAAAAAAAAAAAAAATCATAAAATAAAAAAAAAAAAAATCATAAAATAAAAAAAAAAAAAATCATAAAATAAAAAAAAAAAAAATCATAAAATAAAAAAAAAAAAAATCATAAAATAAAAAAAAAAAAAATCATAAAATAAAAAAAAAAAAAATCATAAAATAAAAAAAAAAAAAATCATAAAATAAAAAAAAAAAAAATCATAAAATCACAAACAATTCCAAATTTAGACTTGTGGAATTCAACTTTTGCTCTTTATATTTGGACTTAATTCTCAGAAAATAAATATTTGTAATTATTGTCTTGAATACAAATGTATTCTCTTAATTCTACAAGTGTATCCTCGATAAAATATTAGCCTTTCATTTTTCTGTGTGGCCCATGCTGATATGATATGCTTTGATGCTGGGTCACTCCGCGCAAGATTAATTAAAACCAACAACATCCCGGATGAACTACCATGGGAAATTCTGGCCAGATATGATGCCTGACAAAAATGGATGGTCCCCAACTGTCTTGACCTCATTCCTACCTCGTCCCTCCTCCAGCCTGTGTCGGCGGTTGATCCTTTGCCGTTTCTCCTCCTGACGGATCTGAATGTGCTCCTCGATGTTCACTCCTGGAGGGGGGGGAACAGGCACAGCTGATAACAAAAAAAAGGATGGGTGGGTGCAGCCAGGCCAGATAGATGCAGGATGGGAGGAGGAGAGGGAGCAGAGCAGAACAAAACAAGACACACATCAAAGAATGAATGATGATGGAGAGACGCACAGGACTAACAATGACTCAGCTCAACAAGAGAACAAAATGGGTGACACGGGCACATGGAATGCAGCAGAAAAGCAACAGGCAGGGCAGTGTGTGCGTAAAAGACTCAGAAATAACATGTACGGGTTTCCCTCAGCCTTGTTCAAAGTTGCCTGTGATCCCTTACGCAGGTTGCATCAACCTGCACACCCCTGAAAGCCGAAAAATCACCTTATATAACAGGTAGATGCATGACAATTAACCATGCTTATCATGTATGTCAGTGAAAGTACATGTGAGAGGGACATCTTGTGAGTAAGTGGTAAGGTCAAGTTGGTGGGCCCAGGACACAACAAATCCTCTTTTACACTGCCTGTCAAAGATGCCCTTTTCCTTGCCATTCTGTGTAAATGGCACCAACATGCATTGGCTGGACAAAGTTGACGTGGCTATTTTCCACCTTTTGATGTAGCCGGAACAGAAGCGGCAACTGTGTATACAGGTATTGTGTAATGCTGGGACAGAAGTGTGAGGTGTACAACACGTCACTTATTATCCCCGCTCTATGGATTTCTCATAAATTTCAGGTTGACTTTTTTGTACTACGACTACATTCTCCTAAAACTACAGTGCTGGCGTTGACCTCATCAAATTATCCCGATTGTGGGATGCCATGCGGTTTGTGTAAAAGCTCACACAGTTGCAGCCAAGGTGGCCAAATGTCGGATCGACTGCGTGAAATTTGTCGGATCGCTGCATAAAAGAGGCTCAAGTGTTACAAGATGACAAAAGGGCATTACCTAGAAGGAGATCCAATGGGATCATCTCTTTGACTGCGTCGAAGATCCCTCTCTGCCGAGCCTCCTGACCATCCAGCTCCCTGGCACATGCCTTGCAGCAGCCGCACGCCGAGCAGCCAGACTCTCCCGACCCACAGCCACAGATGCTGGTTAACAACAACAACAGAATAGTTACACAAAGACCGGATGTAATTTGAAAGATGAGCAATATGTCGATGTCCTCTTACCCTCCAGGTACTCTATCAGGCCGCCCACTGCTGACGCAGCTGGCGCCGTAGCCTGTGCAGTCGCCACACACAGTGCAAACCATGCATTGGTCCAACTTCCACTTGTGCATGCCGGACTGACACATCATGCTCTTCTCCTCCTTCTCCTCGAGCTCATCTTCCAGGTCCTCATCCATGGCTGTGGCCATGTTCTCCACACCGAACGCTGCAACAGACATGCCAGGCAAGCAGGTTTCAAAAAAGCAATGATGGTTAAAGTTCCTGCATCGTGAAAATATTTCTTCTAAATCTGACACATCACGGACAAGAGTGTTACCAAAAATTATGATAATCATCCCATTCTCTCTGCTCTCAAACGCCGTGGCCATGTCCGCTGAATGGACCGACACCACGGCTCGTTCATCTACCAACTGTCAGTCAATTACCACTGGTAGGACGTGAAAAAACGGGTGACACTTCATCGAGCATATTTCTTACATCTACGCAAAGCCACATGTTTGAGGCATAATACATTTCCTCAAAACCTCCAGTGGCCAAAATACTGCATATCCCACTAGATCGCCGCAAAGCTTTTCCACACCACGACGACGAGGTGCTCCAGAGCGGCAATGCCAGCAGGCTACCCGAAATTAAGATGCATTTTCGTGGTGGGGGCATAGCTAGCTAGCTATCTAGCTAACTGCACATTGCAATTGTGCTGGATAACCACTGACGCCAGCAAAGGCGCTCAAGTTCTTTTATGGTGGGGGAGGGTCAACTCGTGCCTGACTTCTAAGTGCATCACTGGGCCCTGTTTCAGCCACACCCAAAAGGGGGAAAAAAATGAAAACAAAATCACACATGCTTTCAGCGCTTATCTTCAATCGTGTATCTGGCGACAAATCTCTGACTTCACTTGTGTCGTCGTTTTGCCCACCTTTCCCAGCCTGGCTCATGGCCCCTGTGTCTCTGCCACACTGGCCCTTGTTGTTCACCCCGAAGGTCCACACTTCCCCGTTCTTGGTCAGGACGCACGTGTGGGCCTTTCCCATTGCAACCTGGGTCACAATGTGGCCTTTCAGGTCAGTCACCTGGCCTGTGGGGACCAGACAGTGATGATGACAAGACAGAGGAATTAATAAAAACAAAGTGGAAGTAAGAAACACTGAAGAGAGGAACCTATGGAGTTGCACAATGCTGGCTATGTATAGACCACATGTATTAATGTAAATGAATCCATTCAAGTCTGTCACAAAACCTTTCCTAAAAAAATCAGTTTGCACTTGAAATTGTTACACTCCAGGGGGCATTGGACTTTGGGGGGGGTTCCACTGTATTTTTATTGATGATGGACTCACAAGTGCTGTCGCTGTAAATGGCATCCTTTCCGAACATGTACAGCTCGCCGTCTTTGGTGACGATACTGCTGCTGCCGTTGTTGCACGCCGTATACACTGCCATTTTGGTTTCTAATTTGATCATCTTCTTCGGCTTGTAGGGTTTGGGTTGTCGCCGGCTTTTAGCTAAAGAGGGTGGCAGGGGAAAAGACACAATCACGTTAATTTGGTTATGTTGCAATCTGAGCCGGAATGACATAAATGTGGACATCTCTCCTACTGGACTCTCCATCTTCTCCTTTACTCGCAGAACCGGTAAAGAAGACGCTTCCATCTTCGGCCACTAACAACGCGTGGGAGCCATCGTGGCCGACGGAGAACTGAAGGATCTTGGGGGATTTGGTAACAGGAAGTTCCACCCATTTCCCGGCGGAAGGGCCTCCCTGCTTTATGCCCAGACTTTGATACTTTCCAGTGTAGTAGATCTGACATGAGAGGATGAGGGAAGACTAGTGATAAACCATCGTATCAATACATTCATTAAAAAAATATATATTCAGGACTTGAGTTTCTCTTGGTGGCCAAAATACTGTAATGCCAGAGGTGTGAGCACAGGGTATATTGTAGGGAGGTGCTTAGCAGTGTTGCGAGACGAGCCGACACTAGCCCAACCAGGTCCAAAGAAACGATCAGCAAGCAAAGTCCCCTTCTATTGTTATCTGGCGAGGCCTCACACGGTGTCACACCCACTGCACAGAAGCAACCAACTACGCCTTGCACACACCCCGGCCGAACAACATACTTGGCATTGACGTCTGTTTCTATAAAGAAAGGGTGTTTCTATGCCACCTTATCCCCTGCCTAATAGCATTAGCAACATACGCATCGAATTAAACCATTGACTAAGAACCAAAACAGCAAGGATGGCTTATCGCTACTATATTGTGTGTCGATCAAATCAATCTATTACTCCGAGATTGCGCGAGTAAACCGAATGACGTGGTTAGTGAGTGTGCGACTTAAATAATGCAGGACATTCACTCTCACCTTCCCAGAGGCAGTTTTCATCAGCGCAAATTCCCGGCCAGCTCCAAGCAACGCTGCCTCCTCATCAAAGCCTGTGCCTGTGAGATCAACACAGCGTTTTGAGTTATCGCCTCATGAGGCCAGGATACCTTCCGGCCAACATACACAGACTACAACCATTCAGTGTTGCATTTCCTAAAATAGTGGCCTCGAATCTAATAAACGCCGAGCATCAAGAGATATCCACGTGTGGCGTCCGCTTGAATAAACAAATCCCGCCCCTCAACCGGACAACCGGATCGTATTGTAACGCATTACTTCCATCAAGTATCATCATTTATTTGAAGAGTAATCACATAAGCTATGCGCTCCAATAGGTCACACGGTGCGCCGTCGGCCTAAGACAAAACAAAAGACCTCCTTTCACTACTGAAGATGCCTTTTTTGTCGCATTAGGAAAAACAATTGATCCAGACTCTTTTTTTTTTTTTAATATCAGTTCATAGTCGCTATTATTCACACACAGCTATTAATAAAATGATTGCTAAGCCATTTGAAATGCTGCTGCTAACCAAAACGGCAACACCTACCAAGAACTACGAAAACGGTCAGATGAATGACAGTATGGAGTATTACCGTATGTTGTCAACAAGATCCCTGCACAGGATGAATAAATCTGATTTGTTGCTGTTATTATTATTATTCTACTTCGTAAAAATACAGTTGAAAAGATAGTAAGCATCGCGTACTCTCTGCAGTTGAACAACTCAACACGCTACCCCTCCAGCCACTAGAGGAGGAAATAAGGTTTACTGTATTTGAAAACACCATCATGTCCATTTAGCATCACTCACTGATGATGTGCAGATCCTTCTCGAGGTCAAAGAGGGAGATGCCGCAGGCGTGCAGGCACTTCCTCGCCAGTTTCAGCTGCAGTTCCTGCTGCAGGCTCGGGTCGGAGCTCATGGTGTAGATGCGCACCACAAAACCATCCTGCTAAGGAGACACCACACGACAATGTTAATACCTACTCTTGTTTTACAGCAATTTGATTGCAGACATGACATGCCACATGACAGCACAGCTCTCTCGGAACAAAAAAATAATAGCATTGGATGAGAAGAGGCTTTGTTCAAATGTAAATAGTTTTCGACTTCTGGGAAATTTGGAAGAAATTCAGTGTAATTCATAATAGAGTCCTTGGGTATGTTTGGTATTCATTCGAGATGTGGTCGGAATTCCAATGGAAGTAACTTGGAGGAGCTTAAGACTTACATCTTTGCAGGCTGCAATTTGGTTGATGTGGTCTCCGTCCGTAAAGAGTATATTCTGCCCATCCGAGTGTTGACCTGGAGAGAGGAATGTTGACCGTCAATACTCACGATTTATCGCTGTTGCGTGTTTAATCAATCTTTGCGTCGATGACTACAATCTCAATTGTCATCTGGCTTCTACAAGAGGCGAAAAAACTCAGAATGTATGATGTATGGGGGGTGGGGCTGACATCAAATAAATTCAACTTTGCTAAAGTTTATTCAGAGAGCACTTTAGAAACAACTGTTGTTGCATACAAAGTGTGAGACATAAAACAGACAAAGAGTTAAGCCAGTATATAAACATTATGTCCGCACCTGGCATGGTGACGGCCCCCTCAGGCTCCAGTGTCTCAGGATTGATCTTGATGGCCGACATACTGTGGTTACCTGTGTCCCGATACAGCAAGTAGCCCTAAGGGTACAAGACAAACCCGCTGCTCATCTGGACTATCAAAACAATTATCCCCAGGGTGGGGCTTACTGCAGATACTGGTTGCGATTCAGCTGTAAACATTTGACAGTCCAATGTGCAGTTGCTGAGTCAAAACGATGAGCTGAAATTACCTGCGCGAAGCCCAGCCACGACCTCTTCTCTGTTCGATTCCTAATGCGGGATGTTGAGTTGTAAACATGACCCTGAGGAAAAGATCAATAAATTAGACATCAGCAAAAAAGCCCGCACATTCGCCAGCGTTTGATGTATACAAAGGCAATGACTACATTTGAGTCTCAGAGAGTGTTACGTGTTAACTTAGTTTTTGCTTTATTGTTGGCATTTTGTATGTTTTTCTTCAGAGGAGGAAACATATCTTCCGGCTATGTATGAAGGCAGATACGTACCCTGACAGTGCCGCTATACCCCGAGCCCACTTTGTAAAGTCCGTCCTTGCAGAGCAGGTAGAGAAAGGAGCCATCCGTCTGCAGGAGGCAGCGCTCGTCCTCATCGATGGTCACGCCTTTCAGCACCCATTTGTTCATCAATGCCGCACGTTTGATGCCGTTCCCAAACCAGTCCTGGATTTGGATCTTTCCCACCAAAACCGCCTGCACACTCCTCTGCAGGGCGTTCAATATGGTGGGCACCTAAAGGAATCACATATGTGAGTAAAGCTTTTCCAACTCACTACATTGGGCCTTTGGTGACATTATGGGGAGTTGTTATGGGAAGTAAATGACGCTCCTGGCGCTGCTGATGACTCGTTTAAATAGTATTACGACCTGCAGTGTGAGTTTTCCCTCGTCTCATTGAGCTAAACATCACATTACCACGGCAGTT